TACATTTTACCTGACATATCAGTAGATAAAGGCAACATTTAAATTTTCAAGAAAAAAAACTGGAAAATCAGCATCAATATTTTTTTTTACATTTTATCTATTTTTTTGTTGATATTTAAACAATTTTTCAAAAATCTTTCCCAATTAAGTTGCCCGTATTCAATACAGTTCTAACTGACTCATTGTAATTTAGTTAAAAGAATGTTTTGAAGCAGTTTTGCGGTTATATGACAAACATTAAAAAGTTTATCAAATCAAAAACCAAAAATCAGGTCTGTCTTGCTCTTATACTAGTAGGTGACCATGTGCTTGTTTGTTGAAAAACTAAGTTAAAACAATTATACATGCATTTATCAAGTGTTAGGGTTATCTACCGGTATGTGTCAGAGTTATCTCTCTGATCAGTAGTCTAATAATAAAATATAAAGGGAGTGGAACAATTAACTAATCAACATAGGTTAAGTTTTAAGGTTTGTTTACCAACATTTCAACTCTCATGAGTCTTCATCAAGGTTTGAATTAATGTCAGAAATAATACGATACTATTCTATAATATAAAAATCAGGTATATGTGGATCATGTGATAGTTCAAAAAAAGAGATAAATAGATTTGTTGATTATACCCTCACAGACACAGTTTAGGGGGCATATAGGAGTCGGCTTGTTGTCGGTTGGTCTGTCCATCTGTCATTCGGTCCGTCGGTCGGTCCATTTCATGGTTTCCAGAAGATAACTAAAGTTTGAAGCTGTAATGTAATTGTATTGTAATCAAACTTGGTATGTTGCAATCTTATGTGAAAACCTGGGTCGGTATTGCATTTGAACTACATGGGGTCAAGGTCAACATTACTTGAAAATAGAAAAATGGTTTCCAGACAATAAGATTAGTCTAGAGTTAGGAAGGAGATATTGTAATCAAACTTGTGTGTACCAAGCTTATATGAAGATACTGGTTGGTATTGCAATGGACCCCCTGGGGTCAAGGTCACCGTTACTCAAAATAGAAAAATGATTTTCGGACAATTACTTGAGTTAGGAATGTGATATTTATGCCCCCATTTCGAAGAAAAGGGGGTATATTGCTTTGCACTTGTCGGTCCGTCGGTCCGTAGACCAAATGGTTTCCGAGTGATAACTAAAGAACCCTTAGGCCTAGGAACTTCAAACTTGGTATGGTGATTGGTCATGACCAGTAGATAACCCCTACTGATTTTGGGGTCAAGGGGTCAAAGGTCAAGGTCACATTGACCTTGAAAGCAAAAACTGTTTCCGATCAATAACTTAAGAACCTTAAGGCCTAGGAACTTCAAACTTGGTATGGTGATTGGTCATGACCAGTAGATGACCCCTATTGATTTTGGGGTCAAGGGTCAAAGGTCAAGGTCACATTGACATTGAAAGCAAAAACAGTTTCCGATCAATAACTAAAGAACCTTAAGGCCTAGGAACTTCAAACTAGGTATGGTGATTGGTCATGATCAGTAGATGACCCCTATTGATTTTGGGGTCAAGGGGTCAAAGGTCAAGGTCACATTGACCTTGTAAGCAAAAACGGTTTCCGATCAATAACTAAAGAACCTTAAGGCGTAGGAACTTAAAACTAGGTATGGTGATTGGTCATGATCAGTAGATGACCCCCATTGATTTTGGGGTCAAGGCGTCAAAGGTCAAGGTCACATTGACCTTGAAAGCAAAAACGGTTTCCGATCAATAGCTAAAGAACCTTAAGGCGTAGGAACTTCAAACTTGGTATGGTGATTGGTCATGATCAGTAGATGACCCCTATTGATTTTGGGGTCAACGGGTCAAAGGTCAAGATCACATTGACCTTGTAAGTAAAAACGGTTTCTGATCAATAACAAAAGAACCCTTAGGCCTAGGAACTTCAAACTTGGTATGGTGATTGGTTATGACCAATCAGATGACTCCTATTGATTTTTGGCATTAAGGGGTCAAAGGTCAAGGTCACATTGACCTTGTAGGTAAAAACGGTTTTCGATCAATAATGAAAGAATCCTTAGGCCTAGGAACTTCAAACTTGGTATGGTGATTGGTCATGACCAGCAGATGACCTATTGATTTTGGGGTCAAGGGGTCAAAGGTCAAGCTCACATTGACCTTGAAAGCAAAAACAGTTTCCGATCAATAACTAAAGAACCTTAAGGCGTAGGAACTTCAAACTTGGTATGGTGATTAGTCATGATCAGTAGATGACCCCTATAGATTTTGGGGTCAAGGGGTCAAAGGTCAAGGTCACATTGACCTTGAAAGCAAAAACGGTTTCCGATCAATAACTAAAGAACCTTAAGGCGTAGGAACTTCAAACTTGGTATGGTGATTAGTCATGATCAGTAGATGACCCCTATTGATTTTGGGGTCAAGGGTCAAAGGTCAAGGTCACATTGACCTTGTAAGTAAAAACGGTTTCTGATCAATAACAAAAGAACCCTTAGGCCTAGGAACTTCAAACTTGGTATGGTGATTGGTTATGACCAATCAGATGACCCCTATTGATTTTGGCGTTAAGGGGTCAAAGGTCAAGGTCACATTGACCTTGTAGGTAAAATCGGTTTTCGATCAATAATGAAAGAATCCTTAGGCCTAGGGACTTCAAACTTGAGATGGTAATTGGTCATGATCAGTAGATGACCCCCATTGATTTTGGGGTCAAGGGGTCAAAGGTCAAGGTCACATTGACCTCTTAGGTAAAAACGGTTTCCGATCAATAACTAAAGAACCCTTAGGCCTAGGAACTTCAAACTTGGTATGGTGATTGGTCATGACCAGCAGATGACCTATTGATTTTGGGGTCAAGGGGTCAAAAGTCAAGGTCACATTGACCTTGTAAGTAAAAATGGTTTCTGATCAATAACTCAAGAACGCTTAGGCCTAGGAACTTCAAACTTGGTATGGTGCTTTGTCATGAACAGCAGATTACTCCTATTGATTTTGGGATCAAGGGGTCAAAGGTCAAGGTCACAATGACCTTGTAAGTAAAAACGGTTTCTGATCAATAACTAAAGAACGCTTTGGCCTAGGAACTTCAAACTTGGCATGGTGATTGGTCATGACCAGCATATGACCCCTATTGATTTTGGGGTCAAGGGGTCAAAGGTCAAGGTCACATTGACCTTGCATGTCAAAACAGTTTCCGATCAATTATAAGAGAACCCTTAGGCCTAGGAACTTCAAACTTGGCATGGTGATTGGTCATGACCAGCAGATGACCCCTATTGATTTTGGGGTCAAGGGGTCAAAGGTCAAGGTCACATTGACCTTGTAGGTAAAAACGGTTTCTGATCAATTTACTAAAAACGCCTAGGCCTAGGAACTTCAAACTTTGTATGATGATTGGTCGTGACCAGCAGATGACCCCTATTGAGTTTTGGGTCAAGGGTCAAAGGTCATGGTCATGACCAGTAGATACTTTATAACCCTTATTAATTGTTTGATCACTGGGTCAGAAGTCATGCATAATAACCTTATCACATGACTAATTGGCTGCTGATAGGGGGCATACATGTTTTACAAACATATCTTGTTTAATCAAACTTGGTGTATTGCAAGCTTTTATGAAGATACTGGTTGGTTTTGCATTTGAATCCCCTGGGGTCAAGGTCACCGTTACTTAAAAATAGAAAAATTGTTTCTGGACAATAACTAGAGTTAGGAATGAGATTTTGAAATCAAACTTGGTGTATAGCAAGCTTATATGAAGACCCCAGTGGGTAATTGCACCCCCTGGGGTCCAGGTCAAGGTCACTGATATTAAAAATAGAAAAATGGTTGCCAGACAATAACTAGAGATAGGACTGAGGTATTGTAATCAAACTTGGTGTGTAGCAAGCTTATATGGCGACCCCGGTTGGTATTGAATTTGGAACACCTGGGATCTAGGTCACCACTACTAAAAATAGATAAATGGTTTCTAGACAATAACTAGAGTCAGGAATGTTTATTGTAATCAAACTTAGCAAGCTTATGTTGAGATCACGGTTGGTATTGCATTTTTACTCCCTGGGGTCAAGGTCACCATTACTAAAATAGACCATTTCTAAATAAGTACAGTTAGGAATGAGATATTGTAATCAAACTTAATTTATAGCAAGTTAATATGAAGATCCTGGTTAGGATTTCCATTAATTGAAATAATTCTTTGTACACAGTTGTTACTAGATTTACTATAGGTTCAAATTTTTCTTTAGACTTCTTTTTTTTCAAAAAAAAAGTTGCTGGTGGGGGTATTAATCACCTTCAGTGATAGCTCTAGTTGTACATATCGCAAGCATTTTCTCCTTCACTGCACAAAATTGCCACCAAAGCTTAAAATAGAAGAAAAAAACTTGTCTGGCTTTCGCAGGCCAAACTGCTGATGGGATTTACATGCTGCTTTTCCATACTTAGAGTACATACGTGGGAGACTATAAGAAACTTACACTGGCTGTTGTTAAAGACCGTAATATGAAGCTTGAGGATAACTGTTTACGGCGGTAACGAAGTTCTGTCGAGTTTCCACTAAACAGTTACCCAAGAGCTAGATATTCCCGCCTGCACCGACAGCCGGTGTTTAATTCTTTTCCTTCTATATTACATATCAATTATTTTCAGAACAGAAATTACGAAAACTGAAATTGTTATAACGTACCTGTCTGATATGCAAGAAATATGTTTTTGTGACAAAAACCCCTTCTACTTTTTCATTAAGATTGATGCAAATTAAAGATTATTTATTTTGTGCAGGATTGTTTGAAAATACTGCAGAATGAATTAAACTGTAAGGAAGGGACAGTGATAGGACATCAAAATAAATGAAAAATTAAAAGAAAGAAGTTCTTAAGTTATTGTTGGAAATCAAAATGGTAATTCAGGCCATAGAAAATCAGATTTTTATGATATAAATTGAAGATTTTTAAACCTTTTTTACCCCTTTTTGTACCCTCATTCCTATTTTGTAAGTTTAAAAATGATATATTCATCAGTGTTTTTCTTCATTATTTCAGGAATGTGTATGCTGGTTGCGACACTTGCACAGGTTCAGAATACAGGACAATGGACTGGTCGCAGAAAATTCTTTGTTGCATTCTCATGTTGTTTTATAACTTTGGGTACATTTATCTTTGGTCTGACACTAGCCCAGTCTATAATGAATTTCACAAATGGAGGAATAAAAGCAGATAAGTCTAAATACACCTGTTGACCTTTACTGTATGAAAAAAGGGACTTTTTTAAATTAATTTTTTGAAAATAAGTATTGTTGCTTACACAGAAAGGAAGGAAATCTGGTCTGATAGAGCTTAACTCAGGATGGTATTGTCAAAAGCTAATGACACATTTTGTGACTTTTTTGCAGTAATTTGAATATGTTGCAATAATCACCTGATTTGGGCTCACAATGGACAAAGATCGAGATCAAATTTTTTTCTGAAGTTGCGCATATTTTATACCTAAAGGTGTAAAAAAAATGAAAAAATAGACCTTTTTTCAATTTTTTCCCAAGATTTTTCATGACTAGACTAGTTTTTCTAAAATACTGTATTTGAGCTTTGAAGAATTCAAAATTTATGATCCATATTTTATCAATAATCCTTAATTTGATCCAAATATTTATATTTGGAAAGCATGTTTTTTGTTCCTTAATTTTATCTCAAGGCCCTCATAAAGAAATGGACATTTTCTAACATTTGTAAAATATATTCTTATGTAAGTGTCGGATCCTTTTATCAACTGTGACAATACATTCATAACATAGAAATGAAAACAAAAAACAGAATCAGTTGTTGCGCTTTGTTAACACATGCCGTTGATTCATATTAATGCTTAAAATTGTATATAAAATAGTCTTATTTTCTTTAATGGTACATTAATCAGGAAAATGATTGAATTCTTTGAATGTTAAAATAGTATGATAGTTTTTAGTAAGTGGTCATTGATCAAAAGGTGAAAACAATAAAAAAAATTAAGAGATGCACTATAAAGAGTTAATTCTTCCTTTTGTTTAATCGGATACAATCTAAACATACATGAATAAAGGTTGTAGAGGGCAAAAGCAGATGTCAGTATTAGATTTTAATTTCCTTAATTTTAGTATCATTTTATTTACTTTGCTCCATTTATGCAAATATTTACTTTTTTTCTTGTGAACTGATTTTTCATTTTATGTTGTGTAAAAAGTGACACTTTTTAGTCCCCTACCGGTTTAACCGGAGGGGACTTTAGGTTTACCCTCCGTCCGTCTGTCCGTCCGTCTGTCAGTCCGTCCGTCCACAAAACTGGATCCCGCGATAACGCAAAAAGTACTGAAAATATTTTTATGAAACTTGATATATGGATAGATGGCAGTATGGAGATTATGCACTCTTTTTTTTTCTTCCTATGTTGAAAATTCTGGTTGCTATGGCAACAAATAGTCTGAAAATATGGCAAATTTAACACATAAACTGGATCCAGTGATAACTCTAAAAGTACTGAAAATATTTTTATGAAACTTGAAATATGGGTAGATGGCAGTCTGGAGATTATGCACATCTTTTTCTTTTCTTCTTATGTTGAAAATTCTGGTTGCTATGGCAACAAATAGCCTGAATTTCAAGATTTCTGATTTAAATTTTTCAGCTTTTTCACTATATGTTCTTTATTTCTTAAGGTGTTTACTTCAAACTTTAAACATAAGTTTCTGGTCATCAACCACATCATATGTGACAAGGTTTATAACTCTAGCACAAAAAATATCAGTATTACCTCCCTTGAACTTAGATTTTTTAGGGGAAAAAATGTTGTCTTTTTTAAATAACTTCTTTATTTCCTAATGTATCTACTTCAAACTTCATATATATGTTTCTTATTATCACTCGACATTTTTGAGAAGGTTAAATACTCTAGCAAGACTATTTCCAGAATTATGTCCCCCTTGAACTTAGATTTTTTTCGAGAAACTGGTATTTTCACTCCAACTTCTTTAATCCTTATAGGATTTACTTTAAAATCCCACATCGTAATAATATGACAAGGTTGTATAAACATAATTTCCTTACTAAGCATGGAAACTTAACACATTACTGTGATATAGACAAACTTATTTTATTATGTTTTGTGGTCGATATTTTCAAATACAGACTTCATCCTCAAATTCATTATAAATGGCAATACACAGGAGTGTATGACAATTAAAGAACTTTTTGAGGGACCGGTAGGGGACTACTGTATTGCCCGCAATACTATCAAATGCTTGTTCATTTTAATCTTGATACATTGCTATAGCTTTTAAATTTATTTACTTCTAATAATTTATTTATATCAAAGGTGCATTTTATTAAATGCCTGTTTGAGAAAGGGTGGTATGATAGTTTTTCCCTGGTGGATGGACACCAGCATCCCCACCTGGGGGGGGGGGGGTGGATGGATGGTGTCCAATATTTTGTCGCGAGCATCTCCTACACGCATAGAGGAATTTTAATGAAACTTCATAGAAATGTTCACCACTATGATAAGCTGTGTCACGCATATGAACTAGATCTCTAGAGCAAAGATCAAGGTCACACTAATAGGTCATTGATAAGTTGTACAGAGCAAAACTTTTACATGCATAGAGAGATTTCAATATAACTTGGCACAAATGTTCACCATTGTGAAGCGGAGTGTCACGTGCAAAATGAAGGTCCCTGTGGCCAGTGTCAAGGCCACACATAGGGGTCAAAGTACAGATAAATATATGAAAATGTGTATTCCAGGCCATTTAGTAATCATTTATTGAGGGATTGAAACACAAATGTTTGTTATTATAACTACTGGTGTGAAACGTGTTATTTAGGTTAATATATGCAAGGTCAAGGTCAGATGATAAAATATAGAAATTTTGTCCGCAGCATATCTCATCTCCTCAGTGCATGGTAAGATTCTAATGAAACTTCATAGAAATTTTCACCACTATCAGAAGCAGTGTCATAAGCATGAACCTATGTTAAATGTTAAGGTCACACTTAGAGGTCTTTGACAAATGCTTGTTTGGAGCCGAACTTCTACATTCATCAGGGGATTTTAATGTTACATTTCACAAATGTTCACCATTGTGAGGCTTATTGCGCACATAATCCAGGTCCCTGCTATTTATATTTTATTGTTTCAATGAAAGCAGCTCTCAGCTTGCATGTATTGCACCTGTGTAAGTGATATGTTATTTTTCAACTATTAGAACATTCAGATTTTAACTCTTCTTTTTATTAGTAATAATACTAATTTTTATAAAGTTTCTTATCAAGTTTCTAATTTCAATGAATTTGGAATAGGTCTCATTTTGTTAAGAAAAAGTTTTTGGAAATTCTGTCGAATGAGCTAGTGAGAATATTTAAGATGTCTCAGAGATCAGTATGATGTTATCAAAACAATGTAAATTGAACAAAAACTGTATTATATATGTGTATATAGATATTGTTTATTTTTTCTCTATTCCAGTTTTAGAATTAAAACATTTTTAGCATGCTTCATTCAGTTATTATGTACATGTGTTCAACCTCTATGTAATTTTAGCTTGATTATTTGAAGAATGGAGAAAACTATTATACTCACCCTAGCATTGGTGTCAGCGTCACACTTTGGTTACATTTATGCATGCAAGTTTGTATCTACAAAAGTACTGTCAGAAGTGGATTTAAATTTATACACTTATTTGAGAGTTAAATTGTATGTCACTATTCAAGGCCCTAATAACTCTAACATGGATTTTGACAGAATTGTGACTCATTTTGAACTTAAAAAATTCTATTTATCTGAGGCTTTTATTGTACTATTAAGCACCAGAAATAGTGGACCACACTTTCCTCTTCGACACTCTTGGTCATATTTTATTTCTTTATTATACATGTACATGTACAAGTAACTTTTGTAACGGTTATGATATTTCAATCAGAACACATTAATAACTGACATATAAAGAAACAAGACGTACCGTATTAACTGTGCGAGTGACATTTAAAGTTCATATTCAGTCATACATAGCTTATTATCTTACTGTCAGATCTAAACTTAGTACATGTACTTGCAATAAAAAAATATTTTTATCATTTATAATATGATGGCAATTCTCATGTTTAGATAAGTTTGTCTTATTTGCTGTACTTAAGGTTGTATGTTATGGGAGGGCGGCGAGCTAGTTTTAAAATAATTACTGAATGTTGGTGTTTGTAATAAATATCTATTGACGGTTAAAAAACGTTTCACTTATTGCATACTGATTCTTATGAGGTTTGCTTAAAGACCCTCAAATACCATTAAACTTATACATGTACTAATACTGATTTTATTACCTCCCTTTGACAAAGAATAAAGAGTGTTTATAGATTATGTAGCTTGTATTGAATTATTTTTACATGTTTTGTAAAATGTTTACGATTGTAAATCATCCGTAATATGTTCATATTACGTAATTGCCTATTTTGACTTACTGTTTCATTAAATTGTTGGACTATTTGTACAATAGGATTAAGGTTCATTGGCTGATTCATTTGCCCTCATTATGGGTTCATATCCCATCAGGACTTTTGATTGTTTCGTATGATAATGGATATGCTATCAAGCTAGCTTACAGGAAATCGGTTGTTTCACTCAGTAAAGAGCATGCACCTGAAATATATGTAATGCAGAGGAGCCAGATATCAGAAAGTTGCCAGAAGACCTTTATAGGGTCAGTGTGGCTTGAAAGCTCAACCAATTAAAACAAATTGTTTTTATAGTTTCACCACAAAAAAAATGAAGTAAGGCTGTGATAAATATTAATCCTTATTTAATAATTGTCATGTTTTTATCTTTGTGTTTGTAAACTAGTTACTTTTAGAAATATTCACGTTATCTAGCTTACTAGTATATGATTGTAAACTGTATTTGTTTTGCTTTTTAAAACATTTCCGTGATATTTATTTTTTATTCAATCAAACTAAGAGCATTTTTATTTTACAGAATTATGTTGATTAGATAGTACAATGTGTTGGGTGATTTACTTTTTCTCATATGAATGTTTTTTTATCATTTTTATTTTGGTCAAAATAGTCAATTATTTTTATCCTGTACTTAAAATGTTCTCATTAAAAAAAAACCTTTTAGATTGTCTCCGTTTTTTTTCCAACTTATATTAACCAATGTTTGGTTGCAATTTTAACACATTACTTGTCCACAGATTGCCAAACTTGCCGGCTTTTCGGAAATACCAATCTCCTCACAAGTGACCTACTACTAATCCCACAAAAAATCAGCTGAGAGACAAATGACAATTATACTCCATGTCCGAGATCAAGAGAAAGTTCCCTCTCCCCGAAGGTCAAACCAGCTACACTTATATTACAAATTGGATGTTCTCCCTATTTAACTAAGTTTGTGCATACAAGTATCTACTAGTACATAATTAAGCTAAACTTCGTAAATTGGAGATAATACATTTTCACACCAAAAAAAAAACATAACGTAAAAGTTTTGTCATGTACTAGTTTCCATATGACGCTTTAGTATTTCATAATTTTATGTCAAACTTGGTACTGGTGTCTCGCATTTGTTACTGACAATTTTCCGACCAGTTTATTTTTGTCTTTTAAAGATGGCATTAATCTGTTAATAGATTGAACAAAGTCATTAAGTCTTTGCCACCGGAATACTTCCAGAAACTTGCATATTGGCTATTATTTTTCATTTCTTACGACTGTCTTCATACTTTGACACAAAAATCCTTTGGAAAAGACATTAAAGAAGATTCAACTGAACTTGACCTTTGTCTAACCTGGACACTGAAGGCCAAACGAGAGCAGCTTCCAGGTCAATAGGAACACCAGTTTCTGAAGTTCCTTACTCTGGAGAATGCTATAATACTGGTTAATATATTCTTACATAAATGTTTGAACAAGCAAAAGTATTTTTTTTTTTTTGGTCGAGTTTTACCTCCAACAAACACAGTATAGGTCATATGGCGACTTTCCAGCTTTACTTGTGGAAGAAGACCTCTAGAGCCCTTCCATGCATTGCTATTTAGGTACTAACGGGTACCCAAGTAGAACCAATGAATCATCTTACTTATAAATGTGACAAAAGTCAAGATTACTTGGATAATATTGCACCGAGTACCTTTGTAATTACAAATACAGAACAACACAACTGTCTGTGAAAAGTTTTATTCATAGACAAATAGTAACAATAATTTTCATATCTGTCAACAATAAATGAAATATCAATGATGAAGTATGAGGATTTTAAAAGGATGATATCTTTTCCAAATATACAATTTAAAACAAGAATTCAAATGAATGAAATACTGTGCTATTAGCAAATTGTTTTTTATCAACTCTTCATGACACAAAATGATAACCATTTAAAATAGTTATTTTAGTACCTGGAAACTTCGTATTCTTTAATACAAATCTGTTATTCATAATGTGAATAAATTCCAAAATTGTTAAATTGTAAGTGGAGTCTACAGAAATTTGTATCCACAAATCAATTACTATAACTTCGAAAATCAGGATAAAAATTTTATTTTGGATAAAAAGGTTCATGCCGAGATGTCTTTATTTATAATATTAAACTTGTGTCATTAAAAAGACTATACAAAGAATTTTCTCACAGGTAAAACATAGTTTTCATAAAAAAAACTATCTCAAATGGTGGACACATATACCAAAATGAAATCTAACAATACAGCACCTCTTATGTATTGAATATTTCACAAACAAAATGTCAATTTGTATATCAAATTCTAATCACTTGAACAAATGTCGACGTGTCATATTGATGTTCCAGAGCAAGTCCATAAATAAAATGTTACTCCCATTAAAAAAGAAACCATCAATGACTTGTATTTTAATGTCTTTTTTTTAAATCAACAATTGCTTTTTTGTGTGTGTTTTTCTTAAAATTAAACATTTGTTTTGACATGTTCAGTCACTGTTCCTAATTCACACAAGGAAACAAAAAGAAAGTTTTTTTAAAATACTTAACACACTTTCATTCTGCCATTTAACAAATTGTAAAAATTAAATGACTACGATTGAAATAATATACAATTATCAATTAAGAAGCTAACCTACCCTTTGTCATGTCAAAACCGGGGCATTTCTTACATTTGTGTATAAATCGAGACTAAATAAACATTTCTAAATTTGCTCTTTTTGCTATTCTGTATTACCTATTTATTAAACTCCATAAATACATGTATGTTAATTCATTAACAAGAAAGTCTCTACAATAGTTTAAAACACTATCAGTCTTTCTTAATAATATACATTGTATTGCGCTAGTGTCTCAGCTTTTCAACATGCAAGTTGTTTTTGTTTGTTTTTTTTACAATAAACCATGACAGGTCATTTCATTATGTTATGTAATTCTTATAACAAATGCATGTGGCAAACTATTTTGCAAGCTCACAACTACTGGGTATTACATGGTACAGGCAGAGACCATGAAGTTTCATCTGACTAGACCGCCATTAAATAATGAAGTTTGTGGCGCAAAACCTCCGATACTGAGTGTCTGAGTTGAGGGGAGAAGTAATTGAGTAGCTCGCTGAGCCTCTGGGAACAGCTGGTGGTAATTGGGTAGTGGCACATATGCTGCAGTTATAATCTTACCTGGAATGAAAATTTTACAACTCGTTATATTCATACATAATTTCTTTCAACTTGAAACTGATTTTATCTTTTACTTGCTTATACAGAACATTTTCCAAAACTATTTAATAATATAATTATATAATAAGATTAAATCCTATTTTTAGAAAAGTATGACTTTGTACAGATTTTTTTTTTTAATTTGGTTTTAGACCACCCAAACACATTACAGGCCAAATGGTGACTCCAGTTTTTCTGGCAGAGGGAGACCGAATGTGCCCCTCCATGCATTATTTCAGACACAAACAGGCACCTGAGTAGAGCCAACAATGTTTCATAAGCTAGCTGAATAGCTTCCTCACTTGAAATAATTGAAAGTCCCTGTCCCGTGTCAGGATTCAAAACCACAGTGGTGATGGGAAAGTAGTTTGAATTTCAAGACAACTTGATATCCCTAGAACTGATAATGGACAGTTCCAACACTTAAAGCTGGTCAAATCCATTTAAGAAATTAAACAAATTATGACTTATTGAATTCCACTTCCAACGAATGCGGGCAAAAGCCCTGCTTAGGTACGAATCGAGTAGATATCAATGCTGGTATAATATAATACAATTTGTTTACCTCCAAAATAGCGACCATGTAATGAATTCACCGATGCCACAGCTGCTGCTATTGTTGGACATTTTACATAAACATTTCCCTGCGTTGAAGCCTTATCCACAAAGATGTGTAATACTCCGCCATGTTTACTACACTCTTCTATCACATCATCACGGATTTCCTGATCCCAACTTGTTTTTGATTCACTGTTAATTAAAAAATATTTAAAAAACATCAATTTATTAGAAGATTAGCCAACAAATAAATGGGTTTGTCATGATAGGTCATGCGGGAAAACTTTACAGTATTACATTGTTAAACTCTTCATCACTTGCAAGAAGTAAATCCTTACAAGATTATAAGAGTAAGATTCTCTTAACCATGTTCTTTTAGAATAGTCTAGATCAAATCATACACTCAACATTGTTAAACATTCCACTGAAACTTTTTATGATTTTAATGTTCTATCCTACAGTTTAATAAATCAATGTATCATCTGGTTTAATAAATACTTACATTGTTGGATCAAACATGTTTGAAAGCATGAAACACTGTGTTGCTATTGGTGGGGCTTGAGTTGTGGCAGCAGGTACCTGAGGTTTTACTGCTGGGGCAGCCGGACCTGTGGCTGGCATGCCTTGCATCTGTAGTGAGTTTTTGGCGTAATCTGGGATCTCAAATCCTGTTCCTGAAAGTAAGATTGCATTTATGAACAAATGTCATAATAATTAAACTTTTATATTAAGCAAAATCATGTCTTACCTCAAAATTATTATTGAAACTTAATTCAAGTAATGACATTAAATTGGCAAGTTATGGGGAAAAAGGAAGTAATAATATTAGCCACTATTATGGTTCTTTAAAACTAGTTTCAATGTTTGTAACATAAAATGTAACAATTATACTGTTTTTAAATCATTACAGGTGAATCCAAAAAGATTTTTGATCAAATATTTATGCTCACAACAGTACTTTTCAATCAGGAAAATCTGAGCATAGAAACTTATATTACCTTCTGCCAACTTGGCCATCAGCTGAAGTCTGCCTGTGGCGCCTAGATCTATTCCTGCCCTGTCTAACTCATCATTATCAAGCTGTCCACCTGTCTGTACATCCATCTGTCTCTCTGTTACATTCCCAACCTTCATCGGTCTTCCAGCCAGCTCGAAGCCATTCAACTGTTCCAACGCTTTTTTGGCATCTTCTGCACTTTTATACTGAAGTTAATGCATATATATTAAAAATATCCTCTGAAATAGGTCAAAGGCTCGCTGATTATTTTAACTCTTCATGACTTTATTCAATTTTGAAAATTATTTGGTTATGCTTAAGAGATACAAAAGTGACTACCCCTACTAAATCTGATGAAGTACAGTCTATATACATGTATTTCATTCTGAACAGTTTTTTTCACTCAATCCTTATTAAATCTAATCGTAACTATCCAACACTACTATCTTTTTTTTTTTTACTCATTATTAATTGACCATCAAAACTTGCTAATGTAATGCAATACATCTATCCTTGTTATTTATAATTGACTAATCATTATTTGGACATCTAGATCATGGGTAATGTAATGCAAAGTACAGGGCTGCCAACAGCAAATTGCAAAATCAGAGGAAAATACGCCGGGGGTCAAGGGGGCTGCGCAAGCCCCCTTGTGGGTCCAGGTGGGGGCCCAGGGGGCAAATCCCCCGGAAGCTCCTGGATTCTGATGATTTGGTATGCCCTAAAATCAATTTCCTGGACTCTAAATTTGACTTCCTTGGTTGCCTTTAAAGCCATTCAGAGACACTTTAGTTGGACATCAGGTTTTCATCAGCCCTCAAAACAAATATCCGACATTTTGACAACAGACAAGAGCGACAATGTAAACTGTAATTTGATTGGTTATTCTAAAATAGAATGCCGGAAAAGACTCGATTTGACCAATGAGAAAAGCGCTTACAGACGTACCATAGGCGGCTAGCGTAACAATAAAAGCCGAAGCGTGCCAGTTTTTGGGTACTGTATAGAATATGACGAATGAATTTATTGTCTTTGTCGAATTTACATCGATCCCAAAAATGACCCAGGAGCTCACGAAATCCGTTGATTTCCGCGAATCCGCGGAAAATCGGCAGCCCTGAAAGTATCATCTTAATGTATCCATTGAGACTATTTCTTGTAAAATATCATACCATCAATAGGATATTAAGTAAAACTTACTGTAATAAATCCATAGCCATGAGATTTTCCAGTCTCATGATCCCTTATCAGCTTAATGTCCTCTATCTGAAAGGAAAAAATAGACATGTTTATTTTTTATATATAACTAATGAATTAAGACATAGATAAAAAGATTAAATATCTAAATTTTGACCAAAACGTTAAACGGCATATGAACATATGCACTAAATTTTCTTTCACTTCCTTATAACACATTGCTTTTTCAGTGAAGAAATTTTATAATGCTTTTTACAGATTAGCACTTTAACAGAAATCGTTGCTGGCTCTAAACAAGCAATTTATCATGCCTCAAATAATAACCATGTTTCTCCTCCTGTTCTCCCACAATCATGCCAATTGTTTAACTGTTGGCAAGACAGCGTGCTTGACTATTTTTAGGGCAATGAATCTGTAAAAATCCGTTAAAGAATTATGGGCCTTTGTCAGTCACCTCCTAATATACTCTCAAACAAGCATGTGAAGATTCAACCCACTCCTTTCAGTACTTTTGGATATACAAACTTGCACGCAAAAATTTAAGCAAAGTGTGACACAAACACCTAGGCTAGGTGACCATACTCTTTAAATAATCAGGCTAATAAAGACTACAAACAGAACTGTAAAACTGGAAACTAAATGTATGATATCAATAGTTTTTAGTCACCTAAATTTTAATTTACAAATATCCCGGACTTGTAAATTCTTACCTTTCCAAACGGTTCAAATATTCCCCGGAGCATATCCTCTGTAATGTTGAAATGTAATGAACCTACATACAGTCTCATAGGACCAGTCTGTTGATTCTTTGTTATAATATTTGTAGGCATAGGCGTTCTGTTCTTTTCTGCCTGAGATGCTTGGACTATAATTGGCACACCTAGGAGTTTCTGATTAGTTAAACCCATGGCAAGTGGAACAGATTCAGTGTCCTTGAACTCTATATATGCTATACCCTTTGACCTTCTTGTTTTATTGTCTGTGATCAGTCGGACGTCTTTCACCTGTAACATGTTGTAAATTTTTAAACTATTTTCTTATGAAGTCATTAATATGATTTCCAATTTTCTATTTGAGAGAAACACCAATTTAAAATCAATTCATATTTAATAGTTTACCATTTACCTTCATTTCTGAACAGTTTAAACTGAAATAATGTACAACTTAAATATCTCTTGAACATCTTTTTAACAATGGTAGACCTAAGAACAACTTACCAAAACTAATGGCTTACATACAAAGACATATAGATGACAAAGAATCTAAACTTAGATGAACGTATTCCAACATATCTAAAGTACAGGAAAAGGAATATTCACATTAAGATAATTCAATTTTTTTTCAGATATCAGATTTTTATGCACATAACTAATAACATTAGAAAGGCTCTTACCTCTCCGACTGAAGAAAAGAACTCTTCTAAATCACGAGGTCTAATCCTAGCAGATAACTGCATACAGAACACTGTTCTTGCATCCCTTTCTTCTGGTGTGAGATCTTGTGGAGGTTCCCTGCAAAAAATTAAAAATATATTATTCCCAAACATCCAGGTAAAATTATACATTTTATGAAGAATCAGTTATAAAACATATAATTACACCATTCAACTAACAAACAATAATTTGAAGATGTTTATAAGTGACAGCTATATCTAATTCACACCTTCTTTGACACTTAGTGTAGCCAATTAAAATATTCAAGTTTCAATGTGTATCAATATTTTTACTTTTATATTCTCTATTCTTTCTGAAAAATAAAATTCCCAGTTTCTTTAAACCTTACCTGACGGGACTTTTGCTTATGCTGCGTCTAATGTGTCTCCTTGGGGACTTGCTCCTGTGCTTTCCACGTTCACGGTCTTTACTCCTGCGCCTTTCCTTGCTCCGGCTTCTCTTTTTATCTTTGCTGCGACTCCTTTTCCTCTCCTTGTCCCTACTACGTCGTCTCTCTTTGCTTCTCCTTCTTTCCCTATCTCTGTCTTTGTCCCGACTCCTATTATAGTCATATTAACATTTATTTAAAGCCGCATGCTTCATTTTAGGAAAATTTTGAAAATGTATTTACATGTAAAATATTGTATAAAGAACAAAGAAATATATTTACAAATAGCAATCAGCACTTACAAATCACATTGAGGCAAACAATCTTGTTTGAACCTTTGTAATTCAATTTTAACATTATTTATAACACTGTATTAATGAAAATTGTTATAATTGTTGCTTTTGAATATGTGCAAGAGGGATTCAAATATTGGATTGAAACTATTCAAACAACTATTTGCTTTTAAAAGATGAAAGAAAGATATCCAATTAATCCTCAGTGTGTATTTAAAGTACAAACTTATACTGGATACGATACTGAAAAGGGAAGCAGGGAATTTCTCAACCAACTTATTTAACCCTCCATAACATGGTCAGTTAGACTTAAAATCCATACAAGTTAACTTTGTCTATAGCTCTTAGTCTTCATAGTGCATTTCAAGCTGTAGAACTGGTCACAGAAGGTTTTACAAATAGCACCTTGAGCATTCAGACAAAATTGAGCATACAACTTGATGTAAAAGCTTACAAGGTGTTTCAAAGTAAGTACATATAGTCATTAGGGTTGCAAAGATTCAGCTTTGTCAAAATGTTTGCTTTGCAAATAGAATAATTTGGATTCAATTACTCAGGCTAGGCAACATTTATTTTTCTATAGGGAAACAATATTGAGCTACACTGTAAAACACAAGATACAAATGACCTTAGAGCACCAACAATTTGTGGTTTGTCTTCCATTTTTGAACAACACATTGTTGTGTTTACATTACATGTGCTTTGATTGGATAAGAGAATGTGCAACCAATGAAAGAAACACTTGCTTAGAATTATTTTGTTTAGTATCAGACCAGAGACTTTTTTTGCAAAAATGGTGACAACAAATCAAATTGAAATACAGCCATGATGTATTATGAATAGAACAGTCAGCTCTGAATCTCAAATCAGCATAATCACAGATGATTGTTTTCAGTCCTAATAGTCTTTACACTGCAACATACCTTCTCTTTTCTCTATCCCTATCACGACTTCTGTCTCGACTTCTCCTCCGGCTGAAAAACCATCACAGAATAATTAATGTCTTGCAAAATTAAATATAATGTTTGAATGGAGAAATGTTATCGAAAATACTCTATCAACTTAGAACCAAGTTTGTTTTTTTTATAATGAACTAATTGTCTTTTTGAAATATAGAAAAATTCTAAAATCACATCTAATTTTTTTCCAAATTTCTTTTTCGCATTGTTTTTCTTTATATTTTTTCTGTGACATCACTTACACCACCTTTATTGGTTATCAGCATTGACAAGATCACAACAGAAATTAAACTGCATATGATCTGTCACTGACTCTGCCGTAATCAATTCTGTCTCCATACTTCTACTGCATATTGCTCTTTTATTCTAACATACCTTTAAAGGCGCTCATTTTCTGCATAATAGGTACATTCAGAGCATGTTTCTTTCCCAAATAGGACCAAAATTGCACCTATTTAACGATATACAACAATACCTATTGTTAGCTAATGTAGATACAATATAGATAATAATTCTTAACTCTACATTAGGGTTAGAACTGGAGTGCAAGTAGTCCTACTCTGACCTGAAAAGACACAAAGGTCAGACATATGTCCTTTAGGAAGACATTTTTACCGCCTGTTGAAAAAAGCTGACCCACAGGATCAATCTTACACAGGAATGGACTTCAATCAAAAGGTCATCATCTAAAATAGAGTTCACCCATTTTGATGAAATAATAATAACTACAAAGTGGAAGTACAAAAACCTTCCAAATTTGAAAAGAAATATATATGGACACGCAAAACCCTCTTGAAAAGCCTTGATCCTAAGACAAGAGAAAACTTATTCTGACATTTATTACTGGATGCCAAAAATCTTACGAGAGGTATTACATCATAGAAAGAGATTAAAGAAAACTTTTTTTATTTAAAATCAGCATGGAAGTACAAAACCCCTCCAGGCTCTAGCAAGTTAAGTGAGCTGTCAAAGGAAACTTCATTTCATGGGTGTGAACCAGGAAGTATACTTTTCACACTCACTTCAGCTTGTATGAAAGAAAACAAGTATGTGCATGGAATCCAAAAAAATTGATATCAGTATAATAACTTTCTAACCAATATGATTTTCTCAGTGAAATTTTTAAGGACAAGGTACCCAAGCTTTAGTCTGAAATTAAAAGATGATGGTTATTTATAGAATGGTATTTGACATTTTTTTGTATTTCTTTGGACTTCTGATTGATCTGAAAAGTTCAAAAAGGTTTCTTATAAAATTTGGCAACTGATCTGTAAAGACAGATACGAATGTAAATGCTTGTTGTTTTTGTTATATATTTTCAGAAGTAAAAAATTCCATTTTGGTTATAGTATAATATTGAACCTTAAGTTGTGCGCTTACAGCAGGTCCAGCTCTCTTCAGCCTTTTCCCAAAGCACTCCTTGCAAGAAGCAAACATTCCAAAATCTGTATACAAAGAACTGATCACCATCATCAAACCTCAATATGCTTAGCTGCAACATTAATCTTTTAAGTCCAAACTTTATGGAATGCTGTTCCATTTCCTGACAGTTTTAAACAAAAATTATCCACAGAACAGTCATTAAAATGAAGTCATCTCTTTCTCAACATAGTCACTTCATGAAACAAATATGGTAATCTACCTTGGTTTTTTTTTGCAACCATTTGCATCTCGAACAATATCAAGGTTTGATAGTAGCTTTTAACATGAAATAAATGAAGAGTACATATAAGATACTTACGAGGAAGAGGACTTCTTGTCTCTGTCCGAGGAGGCATCACCACGACCATCATCCTATTTGCCAGAAAACACCAACATAGGCACAAACAGCACACCAACAGGAGCAAAGTAAAATGGGAAGAAATGCATTAGAAAAGTACTAAAATTACTTTTTTAAAGTTTAAAAGCTTAAAAATATTTTTTGCTGTATCCAATGAAACTGCTTACCAACAATTTTGTTAACCCTTTTTTTACATCATGCTTGGAACAAACTAACCTTCCAACTGGACCTTTTCTACAAGCAAGAAAATAAATATCTTAGGCATAATTTCGTAAATTTATAAGTTTTTCATACCTTTTTTAAGTGCGTAATGATTAAGTCAATATTGAAGAAAGTTCATTGGCAACTGAACATATAGATCTTTCCCTATCTACTCTTAACACCCACACTTGCTTGTTTAGAAGGTCACAATTTTCAAACATTCATCATCTATAACAATACTGAAACATGAAAAGTCCTTATAGACTGTCACCAGATTTTGACTATTAGTTTCAAATTTCTCATTTTTTATATTTTTCAAATACTAGAAATACATAATTGAATTTAGTGCAAAGATTTTCTTTTAACTGTTTCAGTATTGATAAAATGACACAGAACGTTCATTTGTTCAGACTCGAACAACTAAAAGGGTCAATGACAATAAACTAACAGAGGGCTGTCAACAGCAGAATTTTGAATTAGCACAGTCAATCACAGGCAGGGAGGGGTATAAAACAAGTGCTGTCATTTCTTCCTGTTGTTTCCAATCATCTCTCCATACCAGCCACCTCAGATCTTGGCCTAAGGAAGATTAAGGACAGGTGTAGAATGTAAGATTTGGGTGTAAGGTTCTCATACAATAGAACAAATGCATAAAAAAATTGTTTTCAAATCTGTAAATCTTTTCTTTTTTTAAATGATCAAGTTAAATGTTTCTGTACTTAACAACAATAAAAATATTCCTTAACTGCATGTTCTTCTTAAAAATTGCATTTGCAAAATGTTTTATTTTTTTAAACTGTCATGATATAAAGTAACTGATAAAAATAATTTCAAATTTTATCTGAAGAGATTTTATCAAGTTATATTTACAACTTTATCGACTTTTGACACATTCCATTGCATTAGAATACCTTTTAAAAATGTCTGCATCAAAGACCACCCATATGTGAAGATGTCCCTATGACATGTGAACATCTAAGACAAAAACAAAATACTAATTTTTAAAGACAGCTATACTTTACAACTATCTCCCATACAAGTCAGCAGTTAATAGAAAAATTTCTAAACCTTTTGTAACCACTAGAAATGCATATATACATAAAACAATGTAAGAGAAAATACTAAAAAGATACTATTGTCCATTAACTAATCATCTTTTCTTACCACTTTGTAATCAGTATTTTTATGGTATTTCTAAATTCAATATAAGAATTTTTATCATTTATAAAAAGCAAAAGTGAAGAGTCAAAAGATAGGAGTATTGACACAGAATACAAAAACCTTTTTAACCTTCTAGTCCTAATGCAAATTAGTAATATTTTCCTAAATATTTTATATTTCCCTTTGGGGGCCCAGCTGCTATTGCACAATAGAAGAACAAAATCACACAGCAAACTTTGACAATTTCCTAGTACATTTTTATTATATCTGGAAAAGGTCTGTTCTGATATCTTTACAACATTGTCATTCTTCTATACAATGTGGTATTATATTGAATATAAAGTCAATAATGACTTATCTTCTTTAAAACTAAAATTAACTTCAAGCGGTAATGACAAATGAGTATTTACCTATCTCCCAATGTCAAAACAATTTAACATATGCATTCTTATACACAGAAATGGTAATAAACAATAAGAGTACAAAGCATGTATAGTCATTATCAATATAAAGTAGAGCTGTCATCGATATCGACAATATCGATGTATCGTTGATATTTTTTTGTCGATCAATAATCGATACACATTTTAAAAAATCGATACTTTTGACTTATAAATTAAATGTCTAGAAATTTCACAATTCACCCAAAATATATGCAGAAACAGTTATTTATATCTAATGTTATGCTTTTGTTATATAGTGGAATTATTTCATAGCAATGGTGACAAATAATGTTGTCTGGAAAAAATCATGCAGTGGACAAGACACTGTACAGAACATGTTTTTGACTGAAATCATTGAAACAGGTATGAAAGTGAATGACAGACAAGTGAGTTTAGGATATTATCGATATATCGGTGTATCGTTGATTTTAGTCACTTGATATCGATATATCGTTGATATGCTTTGCACAGAATCAATGACAGCTCTAATATAAAGAGTATCCACTATCCAATCTATTTAAAGCTTCGACAGTAGCCTAAATCATTGGTTAAATTGATAAATCAAAATCCAGGCTATCGTAATTAATATACTGACTACTAGTGACTAGTAAAACAAAAAAATTTTGTACCACAGCATATAAGATGAGCCTTGCAAAATGAAAGACTAATTTCATGATTTTTTATTGACTATGTCTATCAAACACTAAAAAATACAGCTAAATTAAGAATTTATAATTTTCTGCCTTATATCTGACAGATAGCTGTAAGAAGTTGAGAGCACATATCAGGGTTGTCAGTAAGAGGCGACAGGAGGCCAAAATGCCTGTCTCAAATGCATTATGGGCCACCTCAAAATTAAGAAAACACTTTGTTATGCATGATAAAGACAGAAATGACCGCCTCAAGTTCAAAACAAACCTTCTGCAAAAAATGTTAATGACAACCCTGACATATTTTGTCCACTATATGAGGTACAACACTCCCCCATTGTTATTGTTTCATATGTATAGACGGTAATCAAACCTGAAGTGCACGAAACCATAGGAAAACAGGCTACGAACCGAGATCTATCAATTGACAGTGATTTTTCTCACTGTATTTTACAGCCGAATAAAGGCTGTTTCCCCTAGCCCAAAATATTTAAATTTTCCCCTAAAAATGCTTATATTTTCCCCTAAAATGCCTCGTGCTCTTCTTTACCAGAACCATGACTGGGTACCACTAAAATACGCAATGGAGATTTTTTGGCGCAACGGACGCGACGGGCGCAACGGAGATATTTTTTTAGAAAAACCGGCACAACGCCTTTTTTAAAGTCAATGTGCTATATTTAAGCATCTAAAATGATTGTTTGGCACTATTAAGTAAGTATGTTTAAAATGTTTCATAAATTGTATATGTTTAATTGCACTGAAGGGTTATATGCCTGGCGAAATGGAAATTTCATGGCGAGATATTGTTTAGAACAAACCGACACAACGCCTTTTTTTTAAAGTCAATATGTTATAATTGAGCATCTAAAATGATTGTTTAGCACTATACTATAAAGTAAGCATGTTTTAAAATGTTTCATAAATTGTATATGTTTACACTGAAGGATTATATATGCCTGGCGAAATGGAAATTTCATGGCGCAACGGAGATAATTTTGGAAAATCGGCACAACGTATGTACTAATATATGAAATTAATTAACACCAATGTTTAAAAAAAGAAAGATATAAAAACCTTAATCGTTTATCAAATAATCAAATAGCTGCAATGTTGATGTTGTAAAGGATTGTGTGCCGGCGAAATGGACATTTTGTCTGCGCAACGGAGATTTTTATTTGGCGCGACGGAATTTAAAAAGAAAACAATGTTTATCCTAATTAAGTAGTAATATGAAGAAGTAAATCATTAAAGATATTAACTGAATTACTGAAGTGGTGTAATAAAAGTCTTTTTTATTAATTTAAAAATGGAATTAAATTCGTTTTTATCGTTATGCCTGACACTGAAAGACAAGTATGGATTCACGGATTTATATTATGTCAATTAAAGTCCGTGATGGATTTTACAATCCGTTTCATTTTTTTCCCGTTCAATTCGTTATGTTTACGAAAAGTACTGTAATAGCTTTTCTATACATAATTTTCAGAATTTTACTTGAAGAATACGAAAAGTCGGTAGTGCATACGCTGTAGACTTTCTAATGTAATCTTACGAATAAATTATCAAATTTCAACAAAACGCTGCTTAATGGCTTTACCGCTGCACACAGAAATACGTTTATTTCCGTCATGGCTGATATTCGAAGATAAACATGAGTCTTTAAATCTGTTTCTTTTTTTCCGTGTATTACGTTATATTTACGTTAAGTATTGTAATGACTTTAATCAATGACATGCATGTAACATAACATAACATAATCTTTATTTCTCTCAATACATGTATACATGCAAATACATGTATGAGGAATTTACAATAAATGGTATAATCATACGATATAATCATACGAGGCTCACAAAAAAATAATTAACGAGTGACATCAGTATTTATTTAATGTTGATTTAAAGTGAGCATTCCCCCGTCTCCAGCCACCCACGTGTCTCTAAATAGCGAAAAAAATTTCAAAACTTATATTTCATTTTTTTTCTCTCTTTCTCTTTTTCTCATGATTTTGCAGCATTGTAATACTCATTGACCGGATACTGTATTATTTTGTGTTAATGTAAATTTCGTAATAACCCCATGTTGTACGATATGATATCTTCATGTACCTGGGTGAATAAAAAGATATGTTCTGTTCAAAAAAAGAAAAAGAAAAAAAAACCCGTTAAAACCAAATGCAGCTACTGTTATATAGCGAAACAACAGCAATTTGGCAGAATGTTTATCACGGGTTTAATCCGATAATTAAATTACCACTGACACGTGGTTGATGTTTATTGGACACGCGTTTTCACACCATTTAGATAATGTGATTAAGAGGAACATGTATTGACTTTAAGGTATTAAATATCTTTTATAACTTGTTATTGTCGAAAATATTACAATTGTTAAAAGCATTAAACACCCGTGCCATACACGTGCCTATGCATTGCTAATTGCTAACAATTCTCGCGTAATTGATTACCTTTTGTCAATATCATAATTATGAAATATTTTGATTGCTTTTGATGAAATATACAATGTATACACAACAAACAATTATTGAAAAAGTACACAATGATTAATGAAAGATAATAAATTAATAAAATAACATAATATGATAAAATTGTTATGATAATCCCCGTTGCGCCGAAATGTGTCCATTTCGCCGTAATTTAAATATCTTACAATATCCTATTTTCAACATTTTCTAAAATAAAGGAAAGTAAATCATTTTTAAAAGACTGTTACTTATTATTCTCAAATTCTTAAGTTATGTTCAAACATAAGGTCTACCCGTTATGCAAATCTTCATTTTCCGTTGCGCCGAAATTATGTCAATTTCGCCGTCCATTTAGAATCTGATATAATCAGTATTCTACCTAATAAATTCAAACTTATACAGTATATGTAAAAACTAGAAATGTGTCATCATGCCACGGATGCCCCCGCATGCAGCCAAAATTTCAGATGGTGCATTAATTTTTTTTTTTCATTTTAAGTTCAATTTAGCCCTTAAAACTTTTCAATGTTAACACAAACCATTTCCATACAACGTTCAAGGCACTGAAATTATTCAGTCTTAACCTTTAGAAAAAGCATATTGCATATTTGTAGCCAAAATAATGGCTAAAAGAATGAGTGCTGAAACTGAAAGTTCAAAATTTTTCCAACATTCAGGAAAGATAAGTTTGTCTAAAATCATTGAACCATGACCAAATTCAAACTTAATCTGCTCATTCCTAAGATGTATCTATATTATTTTCAAAGTGAAAGGGACATAACTCTGCCAAAAATCCATCAAACCATGACCAAATTCCAACTTGACCTGCCCATTCCTTTGACATATCCATATGTCAAATTAAAATTGAATATGTTACACTGTTAGGTAGATAATGAACAGAAACTGTAAATTTCATATTATTTTCAAAGTGAAAGGGGCATAACTCTGCCAAAAATCATTGAACCATGACCAAATTTGAACTTGACCTGGGCATTCCAAAAACATATCCATATGTCAAATTTGAGTTGAATGTGTTGTACCATTGGGGAGATAATAAACGGAAACTGAAAATTTCATATTACTTTCAAAGTGAAAGGGGCATAACTCTGCCAAAAATCATTGAACCATGACCAAATTTGAACTTGACCTGCGCATTCCTTTGACGCATCAATATGTCACGTTTGAGTTGAATGTGTTGTACCTTGAGGGAGATAATGAACGGAAACTGAAAATTTAATATTATTTTCAAAGTGAAAGGGGCATAACTCTGCCAAAAATCATCGAACCATGACCAAATTCGAACTTGACCTGTATTTTCTCATGACATATCCATATGTCAAGTTTGAGTTGATTGTGTTGTACCGTTGGGGAGATAATGAACGGAAACTGAAAATTTCATATTATTTTCAAAGTAAAAGGGGCATAACTCTGCCAAAAATCATCGAACCATAACCAAATTCGAACTTGACCTGTATTTTCTCATAACATATCCATATGTCAAGTTTGAGTTGAATGTGTCCAACGGTTCTTGAGATAATGAACGGAAACTGAAATTTCATATTATTTTCAAAGTAAAAGGGGCATAACTCTGCCAAAAATCATCGAACCATGACCAAATTCGAACTTGACCTGTATTTTCTCATGACATATCCATATGTCAAATTTGAGTTGAATGTGCCTAACCGTTCTTAAGATAATGAACGGAAACTGATGATGACGGAATGACAGAATGACGGAAGGATGGAAGGACGGAATGACGGAACAGGGTAACACTATATGCCCCGGCCATTACATGGCGGGGGCATAAATATGTATAAAATATCAACAATACCAACTTATATGATTATTTTGTGTTTTAGACCTAAAAAAAACAGTACAAGTACACAGTTTTGAAAATAAAATCTCCGTTTCGCAATAATCCATCGGCGCAACGGAGTTTAATAATGAAACGTATAACAACAATACAATGAATGTTTATAATAAAAAAAAATATGAACATTGATTCTGTAATATCAACATATGACTTTATTTAGTATATACTAATGCAAATTCAATTAAAAATTATGTATAGAAAAGCTATTACAATACTTTTCGTAAAAAATAACGAATTGAACGGGAAAAAAATGAAACAGATTGTAAAATCCATACTTGTCTTCCAGTGTCAGCCATAACGATAAAAACGTATTTAATTCCATTTTTAAACTAATAAAACAGACTTTTATTACAACACTTCTGTAATTCAGTTAATATCTTTAATGATTTACTTCTTCATATTACTACTTAATTAGGACAAACATTGTTTTCTTTTTAAATTCCGTTGCGCCAAATAAAAATCTCCGTTGCGCAGACAAAATGTCCATTTCGCCGGCACACAATCCTTTACAACATCAACATTGCAGCTATTTGATTATTTGATATACGATTAAAGTTTTTATATCTTTTTTTAAAATTTATTTATTCAAATAACATTGGTGTTAATTAATACATACGTTGTGCCGATTTTCCAAAATTATCTCCGTTGCGCCATGAAATTTCCATTTCGCCAGGCATATATAATCCTTCAGTGTAAACATATACAATTTATGAAACATTTTAAAACATGCTTACTTAAAAGTGCTAAACAATCATTTTAGATGCTCAAATATAACATATTGACTTTAACAAAAGGCGTTGTGTCGGTTTTTCCTAAACAATATCTCCGTTGCGCCATGAAATTTCCATTTCGCCAGGCATATAACCCTTCAGTGCAATTAAACATACAATTTATGAAACATTTTAAAACATACTTACTTAATAGTGCTAAACAATCATTTTAGATGCTTAAATATAGCACCTTGACTTTAAAAAAAGGCGTTGTGCCGGTTTTTCTAAAAAAATATCTCCGTTGCGCCCGTTGCGTCCGTTGCGCCAAAAAATCTCCGTTGCGTATTTTAGTGGTACCGCCATGACTTAACAGCATCAGCTAGAAGACAGAAATCTGTCCCTATAGATAGCCTCTGCTATATACCATGCATGTTAAATTGAATTGAAATTTTTTTTTTCATAAAATGTGTGAGTAAATTCCATTTTCAGTTGTTGGAATTTGATTTCAGGTTTCCCCCTTTTCTGATTTATCGTGCTATATTTGCCCCTTCAGAAAGCCACAGGTTGTTTTGAAAATTGGAAAAAAAATCACTGATTGATCACAATTGATATTTAAAATAAAGATGTTATGTAAGTAATTGCATGTAATGTATTTTACCTCCTTCCTGTAGGGAGCCTCCAACATAGCTTCCACGTCAAAATCGTCTGCCATCTTTTAAGTGTTCAAATGTTCTATGTTTCTGATCAAGCCGTCAACAAAGCTGTGGAGAGTAAAAACCAGAACGATTTAACCTAAAAACCAGAACGATGTAACCTATCTTAAATCAAAAGAATGAAAGAATTATCAAAAATACAAATCATTCATAAATTTCTTAGATTCTAAAGAGCTCTGTAATTCGTTTTGTGTACGTTGGGCTGAACGAGGGTACGAGCCGGTTACATTTTTAAATGACCCAGTTCCTTATCACAGACATTTGGGGTTTGGAGCTCAAAACGCCTTTAAAATCCAAATAAAATGCATATTTGTCAATCCCAGGACATGTACTGATCATATATATCAAAAAATCTTAATATATGCCGTTTTGAAAAAAAATCATATTTCAACAACTATAATAATACACAAGATAAAAATGTTCGCCGGAAAAAATCCGCACCCCTACCGTCATAATCACCATGTATTTTATTCCATTTCCAATATTTTCACATAATCCTTTGGTCCATCGACACAGAAGATATAATTCTTCACGATGATGGTCAATTTTAAACTTCAACGGTAATATTAACAACGCAACAGCCGAAATAAACATCAATATTATCGCCGTTTTTTTCCAACGACAAAATCTTTCGATAAATTCAATGGACCAGACGGCTATGAACGAAGTTATCCGATTATGTGGCCCCAGCTTTGCCGTGTGCAAAATGCGCAGCGCTTTTAAGTTTGGGAACCACATAATCGGATAGCTTCGTTCATAGCCGTCTGGTCCATTGAATTTATCGAAAGATTTTGTCGTTGGAAAAAAACGGCGATAATATTGATGTTTATTTCGGCTGTTGCGTTTGTTTATATTACCGTTGAAGTTTAAAATTGACCATCATCGTGAAGAATTATATCTTCTGCGTCGATGCACCAAAGGACTATGTGAAAATATTGGAAATGGAATAAATACATGGTGATTATGATGGTAGGGGTGCGGATTTTTTCCGGTGAACATTTTTATCTAGATTTTGAAATATGAAATTTTTCAAAACGGCTTATATTAAGTTTTTTTGATATATATGATCAGTACATGTGCTGGGATTGACAAATATGCATTTAATTTGGATTTTAAAGGCGTTTTGAGCTCCAAACCCCAAGTGTCTGTGTTCCTTTTCAATCCAGTGACTCTTCGAAAAAAAAAATAGACATTTCGGTATAAATAAAGATCTATCTAGCTTAAATAAATATCTTTCAGAATATTATAATCATATCTATTCTAAATACCTTTAAATGCAAGAGAAATAAACTTTGTTTTCTGGAAATAATTTGTCAGTCAAATATGGCGTCCTATAAATGGGGTTTACATTTTACACGTCAAAGACGTTCGGTCAATCGGAAATGAACACCACTAAATATTTTCCACACTGTCACTGACATAATATATTCATCGTCGGATACCCACGATTGATAAACATGTCACATAACATGCAATCAATAAATAAATATAATGGTTCGGCCGTGGGTATCCGACGATGAATATATTAAACCTACCTCAAAGCACGGTAACTGCAAAAATGAAGTAAATTCAACAGGAATAATAGCAATTTTTAATATTTAATTGAAAAGCAATCCAAAACCAACCAAAGCGACAATAAAAACTTATATCATTTGATCCTTTAAAAGGAATCATTATTTTGTCTCTGCATAGATCGACGCGCGCTAGATCTCAGTATTCAATATGAACGATTTTTATCATACCCTACATAGGGAAGAACAGATATCTTGACAGAACAAATCAGGCCGGTATGTGTTTTGTTATGCTTGTGTTTCTGGCAGGCGTAAAAGCACTGATAGGTGTCATAATTTAGTCACAATTGAATACAAATCATATAAACCTGATGCATTATTTTGTTTTCAAGATTGTTTGCGATATAAAGGTGACTCTTTCTTAGGGGGACAAAGATTCATCACAGTAAATGATAACTTCTGGTGCATTTTTACGTTTACGTTTTTACAATTTTTTGGTACTGTACATAGTATGATAGTATATAAATTACATTCCAGATTTTCCTAACAATTTTTTGGAGTTATTCAAATACATTCCTTAACAGTAGTAGGCTTGACTTTCTATAAATTAGTTTTATTATATGTTGCCAAATTTAGTTTTATCTAAAGGCAAAGATGTATTATAATGGTTTAAAGGGGCTCCAATAGGGGTTTGTGACATGACGGGACTGAACATGATTTTTCGTGATTAATGTTCCATTTGATGTAGATCCACGCAGATAACTTGTGTGCAAAATTTTAGATTCTTCGCCCTCTCCGTTTTGTCCAGAAAAATATTGTTATTGTAAAAATGACCCAAAATTTGGAAAGTGTTGCAACACTTTTTACTGAAAATTGGGCTAAGAATGACACAATTTTTTTCAGTTTATTTCCGAGTATAGTTTTGGCTCATCTTTTGCAAATATTTGTATTTTAAGTGTTCAAGGTGATCTATTTTTGGATCTTGTGATCCAGTTATTTTATGTAATTCTTTTCCTAAATTATATATGCTATGTAAAATAATTACGTTTATACATACATATGCAAATTTATTTATCTTATTGTAATATTATAACGTTTCTTTTACGCGCCAAATGGAGTGGAGTTCCTTTAATAGTTCATTGCTAAAAATACTAGCTAAGGTAATTGTTTAATGAAGAATAAGCAATCAAGAATGTAAGATGCGTGTGCATTACATATATAATATCCATACGATTGCATATATAATCACTGGAAAGTGATCATATTATTGTGTTAGTGCGATTTATGTTTCTTTTATTTGAATGTAATTGATTAATTGAATTTTATTTAATTAATTAACTTGTTTTTTTTCCGCATGTTCAGAGATGTAGATAATATCTAGATCTATGTAGTTATCTATGTCTCTGGAATGTTCCATCATTAAATTCCCCATGGTAAATTCGACTCCATTGTAAATTTTAACATAATAGGAACAACGTAGAAATATAGCACCAGTTTTATACAATTAATGTACCTTTAAATTATGTAACCGTTTTTTTAGGCCTACCGCTAATAATATAATTATATCTTAACATAATACCTTGGTTACTGATACATGATAGCATACTGTATCAGTAACCCAGGTTGAAGTAACATTTTACGACACCACCCGACACAGAAAGGATTGTAATATGTAAAGTTGCAATATTCAGTAAGTGCCTGACGCATACCTTTATGATAAAAATGGAGCTATAGAGATACAGTAAGCTAAAACGCTTGATGAAATATAATCTTTTTTTATACAAACATTAGCGTTTTTTACCAGCTTTTGTTTTATTTGCTATTCTAGTCCTGAATTTTAACACCTAGCAGGTCTTATCCTTTTTAACTTAGAAAAAAGAATGAACTATTTTAGTTCATTTATTATTGCTGAGTCTAGGAACGTCACACTACTTTATTAACCCAGTTACTATGCACTTAAGGTATCTGCTTAGGGCCCAACCTCATACATTGTGTTTGTCCCTGGTGCAGATGAATATGTAAATTATGCATATCATCAAATAAATTTATTTAAAATAAACGTATTTAACATAAATGCTTTGTTTATTGGATCAAACATGCATACTATTTCTTTGGTAATTGTTCGCCTCGAATAATCTAAATGATTAGTGATTTCAATTTCGTTTCAAGTACATTACAAAGCAACAACAATAACAAATTATAAGTACTTATTTATAAACATCATTTAAAATATAATCAAATTTTCTGCCATTAAATTTCATTTTCCATGAAAGGAATTTTCATCGCTTGGGATTGAGAAGTGTATGCCTCAGATTTGTCTGTATGAGAAGTATTAATTTTATATAAAAATGTTTGCCAATTTGCTATACACAATCTGATGTCAGTTGATGATTTATTTTAAGTTGTTTAGTGTTGGCCTATCCAATTCTTACCATCTTTATTCTATAGTAAAGCAGTCTCATTGGAGGCTAAGGTCTGGGTTCCCAAATCCCTGTCTTCTTGTTTAAACATCAATACTAAGTCTATCGAAATAAAATAAGGTCAGAAATATATGTTTCGTTATCCATCTAGTTGCTTCAGAAAAAAAAAATTAATTATGTCATCCTGAAATAGTCCAAGTTTAGAAGTAATGTCTGCAGACGTGCATTACATCCCAGAATTGCGGTCCTGAAGAACACACTCCCACACTAGATAATACACAAAAACTTCACTGATAAAGTAAATAGAGGATATTGAATGAGTATGGAACTTATATTAAATTTATTAAATAGGTTGAAAATATCATAGTATGCGAGCTTTTTGCGAGCATTAAAAATATCATTATATTCACCATGTTCAATAAATTTTGAATCTACAAAATATAATATTCTATTTATCATACATATATCCAAAATGAAAATGGTTTACAGTTAAAGAAGTATTGTTTATTAACGGACCTATAGTGCAAAATTCACATTAGCACATTTTTACGCGATGTGATGTCTGCATATAACGCAAATGAACTCAAGTAAAAATTTTATTACACTAGTGGGATATGATTTTAATGGCTTCAATACGCTCCTGCGCCGTTGGTTATATGTCATAAATACACTAAACATATTACAAATCAAACTAAGAATAACATTTAATGGGAGCTTATCAAAAATTTAAAGAAATATTTTCTAGATTACAACAGGTTAGGAAGTGACCACTTTCAAGTCATCCCTAGTGAGACTGATTGTATTTTAAACATTTTTATTGTATTAAAATGTGTACATGAAATGTCATTTCTGGTCCTTTATAGGTTAATTTTTGTGTATATTTGCAGGACTTCAATGCTGTGTGAAGGTTGAAGAATGATCAAGGAAAACTTTTAGTGGTGTTCAACCTATTATACCGTGCACATATATACGAACGTCCCTACACAGAATTTAGCAACGTATTGTCCTTACCGGAAGTGACCGAAATTGTCAAAATATTGGGAAATATGCCGATTAAGTGCAATATATGCGGGAAATCAGCAATACTAAAGCGACCGAAAACAGTATTTAATAAACATAACTATATCTTTACACAAGTAGTTTTTGTAATCTCCAAGATCGTCTTGAATTGTAAACAGACACTTTGTCATTATAATTCGCGACAATTCTTTCACATTTCGTACATAATCAATTCGGATAAATTTTTTAATGTTTGATATAGTTTAATATCTGCTCACTTTTCTAACAAAAGTTTACTTTAAATCGGTAGAACACAAAAATTGTAACATATATTCAGAAAATGATGCTTTTGTAGTCCCATAAATATTGATATCACTTTGAGATATTTTTGCTTCTGCCAGTTGTGGGCAAAGCAAAGTCGTATCGAAATTGCTCAAAAGCGATATTTTTGCTTATGCCAGTTTTGGGCAAAGCAAAGTCGTATCAAAATTGCTCAAAAGCTATAGCATGTTCTGGCTATATACGCATAAATTGACTATTTCAAGCATATCTAGCAATATATTGAAAAGTTATTGTACAGGGATCAAAATTTTTATCAGAGCCACTCGTCCTGCAGCCTGTGCAGGACAAGTAGCTTCAAATTTCCACTCTTCCTGCATGCTATGCTCAGGGATCACGTTTCTAGGCGACTTGGGCGACAAAGTCGCCTTGTCTCTCTCCATTTTGCCCGGATCGCTCAGAAAAGCGAAAACAAAGTCTCCCTAAATTTCAACAAACGCTTACAATAAATTTTAAAGTGTCAAGCACCTCGGTATTCGTCTACGCTCCTCCTATTTCAAAGCGATTTGTTAAACGCATTTTCATTGGTCGGTAAAATTGGAAAGCCAATGAAACGCAGCGAGACAATTTAGCGAGTGTTGGAATTTCATGGTTGACATCTTAGGGTATTGTCAAATGCCGACTTATTATATCAATAAACAACAAATAAACAGATTAGCGGCGATTCATGTCAATTAGGATAAATTGGGGGCATACTTATTGCATTAATTAGTCGGTAAGTTTAGTGATCTTATTCACACATTTTCTCTGTACAAAAGCGTGTCGCCAAAAGTGTTGGTCACATGTATCGATGTTTACAATTGTCTCAGCAATTTTGAAAATGCGTCTCTGTTATAAATGTTGGTGATGATTTATCCCTTGATTATTATTCTTTAAAAGAACTTTTTTACCGATAGATTTAATGCATTATGCAGAAAAAGTCTGTCGAAGAAAAAATAATAATCAACTAGCTACACGTTAGATTTTCTTTCAAAAATAAATAAATAAACTAAATAAAATTTAAAAAAAGCATCCACATAAACCTTATTAAGTTTATATGAACTTTGACTCGGCACTCCCTATGAATATTTCTGGGGAAAATAATGAAATACATGTATAGGGCCTAGGGGCCTACTAGTGATACTAAAATATTTTATTTTATTTCAGCACAACATCACATGGCTGCAGCATTAAAATCAAAACAAGCTACACAAAACCTATGATTAAGATGGTATAGAAGGAAAAAAAACTGCCACATTTGTAATTTTGCTGTATATTGTTATGTGTTACTTAATAAACTGTTATGTACTCCACATAATGTTAATCAATCTTAAAACATAGAAATGGAACATCAACACTTCAAAAAAATGCAGTTCGTATGCACTTCTCCTTGTCCCTAAAAACTTCTCCCTATTTTCACTGGAGGGAGAAGTCACTTCTCCCTAAATTTTAGGTCTAGCGTGATCCCTGATGCTACTTGTACTAAATTTTGGGCACAATTTTCAAATTAAATCTCCCCGAAGCTATAGAACCGTGCCGATCTAATAGACAGCTAGGAAGTTTCATAATCAGTTCGTTTACACAAATTTAAAATTTACACAAAGTGAAATTTAACGAACCAGAAACAAAGCTTGTGTTTTAGGTTATGTATAAATCTCGCGCTTTATAGAGCATTGGTGGGCACATTCCAGTTACACCTGTATCCAATTAACTATGCGTAAAGTGCACAATTTATACGTACCGTAAAACACAAGCTTTGTTTCTAGTTTTCCATTGCTAGATTATGAAAATTCTAGCTTCCTATTATATTGGCATATTTCCGCTCGTCCTGCCGAATGCGCATTTTACTATTTATACTCATTCTGCATCAATCTCTACTCTTAAATACGACCAGACAAGTGGAATTTTCGATCCCTGTTTTACAATTGAATCTATTACAATAAGAGAAATTTAAGAACTAGATTTCACCTAGACTCACTCAGAGGCCCATATAGGTAAAAAGATCTCCTGTTATGAAATCTGAACAATTTCAAACCACTTTAATGGTACATATGGCCCCAAAATATCAACTTCTCAAGGAAGAAAAAGTACCTAGACTGAATGCATTTTAATGGTATAATTTATTATTAACATTCAGCTGAGTTGTAACTGTGCATGAAACAATTCAGCGCCCCTTTAATCTTTGTTTTTCACTCGTTTATTTTGCACATACATGCTATTTTGATGTCTCAGTTGTCACAGAATCAGTATATTTTTCATTTTAGGGGGACGCTTTGTGCAAAGAATGCTTTTATTATGCCTTTGAAGAAGAAATTCATAAAACAATTATAGATGCCTCTCTCTTTACCCGTGGGGAGACCATAGCAATTGGAGCCTCTGGTGGAAAAGGTTTGCCTGCATTTGAAATAATGTTATAGTCTTACCTAATTATAAAAAGCTGCTTTGTCATTTCTTGTTAACCATCACTGATTGAAATAAAATATCAGAATAAGGAGTGTAAATTTATCATTTATTAAAGCTTGTCAGTTTCAAAATGTAATTTCAGTTCTCTAAATTACATAGTTCAACATTATTGTGCTCATCTAATTTTTAATTGAACTGAAAATATTTGGTCTTCTGTTCTTAGAGATCATACAAAGAAAGAACTTTCAGAGAAAAATATAATTAAATTTGTCCTAATTATAACGGGAAAAATAATTGAAAATACAGCCTATTGGATATGGTATTCTGTGTAAATGTCTTGACTTTTTATGTACATATAAATAGCAGCTCTCATTTTGTGGTAAATTGTAAAGATAATGCTCATAGAAACTTTATTGCCTTGTCATCCACATAAAAAGAATAGTTTAGGATTGTAAATAAAGGATAGCTCTAAGACCCTGTAAACAAAGGATAGAACTAGGACTCAGTAAACAAGGGATAGTTCTAGAATTCTAGCACTGTATTGATAGGCTGTTTTATTACAAGGACAGTTTTAGGACTCTGTATAAGGATAGTCCTAGAATCCAGGATAAAAGATAGTTCAAACTTCTAGGACTGTGTATAATGATGATGTGTTGAATAATTGATGTAAGGATAGTTTAGAACTTGGTAGAAAAAGGATAGTTTAGGACTCGGCGTAAACAACAGATAGTTCTTGTTGTCTGTATAAGGATAGATCAAGGTCATAGTATAAATATAGTACTAAGATTCTGTATAGGGATAGCTGTTAGACTGGCCAGTCTGATGTCAATATAATGTGCAAGTTATTAGTTAGATCAGCATAGCAAAACTATAAAATTGGACGGTGTGCTCATGACCTCAAATAAACACAATCTTCTATATAACTGGATAATTGTTTAGGTAAACACCAAAGCAAACACTCACTGTCACATGCATGCATTCTTTTACAGATTCCACAGTACTGGCATATATTTTGAAGCTATTGAACGACAGACATGATTATGGTGTGAAGCTTGTTCTGCTGTCAGTTGATGAAGGAATTACTGGTTACAGAGATGACTCTTTGGAGGTATTGTGTTAACCTTTAATCTGAATATCAGAAATGGAATGGAAATATTTGAAATTCATTAAAATGTCCCATTTTTTGTGAAGGTCTATTTGTTTCATACTTCTGTATTATTTGGTTTCTTGGCTGATGGTTAAGTAAAGTTGACTTCAGGACTACATGTATATACCCGGCTAGTGTTTCACTAACATTCTGTAGATTTTGCGTATTTTTTTACGTAAATTTTGACTAACGCAAAACATAAAATTTATGTAGTTGCGTTTCATTTAACAGACCGTCTAAGTTAGCCAGTAATAGGTGAGGTAACTTTACGTTTAAACTTAAGCAAATGTGTAGCTCAGAAAGTTTAGTGAAACGTAAATAAATAAGTTATTTCTGCTTATGCAAAAAGTGATGTTCAAACTTGAGTTACGATAATGTTAATATGTTAGTGAAATGCACCCCCAGTATGAAGCGCAGACATTAAAATGAAAATTGATGTATTAATGTGCTGATATGCCTAATGAACAGCGATGGTAATTTTTCTTAAAGTCTTCCAAGTTTTGTGTAAGAAACTTCCTTCACCCAGGGATTGGTACCATTATTTTAAAAAATATTAACATTTATTTAATGAATTGTGTGAGAGTTATTATTAATATGAAATTTGGGTATATTTTCAGACTGTGAAAAGGAACCAGAAGCAGTATGATCTACCACTGAAGATTATATCTTATGAGGTAAAGTATTCTTTATATTAAACAGACATTATGCTCATGTTTTTGTTGTCAGTTAAGTTGAGATGAATTATATATACATTGTATATTTCAAAAGATTGCCTATTTTGATGAAGATTGACTAATAATTCATATTAACATATGTCTAGGGTAAAATGTAAAAACTATTTTAAAAAATAAAAAAACTGCCGCACTCTTTTTAGCAACTGAGTTTTCACTGAAATATTTTGAAGGTTATTTATTAAAATTTCCATGTCTCGTGGGTGAATATCATTAAAAGTAGAATATGAAATTGGAAACAATTATAACAAAATGTATACTTATTTTGACTTTTACCTGCACTCTCAATATTACACTTGGATGGGTATAATGTCCCTTTCAACATTGCTGGCACTGGATCTGTAGACTTCAGGGGTGCATTTCACTAACATACTTACGTTATCATAACTCAAGTTTGAACATAACTTTTTGCATATTAATTTGCGTTTCACTAAACTTTCTAAGCTACACATTTGTGTAGGTCTAAACGTAATGTTACACTCACTTATTGCTGGAGTAAATTGCACGTTCTGTTTAGTGAAATGCAACCATCATTAATTTACTTTTTTTTTGCGGAAGTCCAAATTTACGTAAAAAGATTCGGTAAACTTAAGGAATATAAATGAAACACTCGCCAGATTAACAATTTTGAACTTGACAGGGGCGCATTTAGTCTGTAAGTATTTGGTTGGTAATTGAAGGTCTTACCCTGAACCCGGAACCAGAAGTGATTCGCCTATGCAGTCTGAATAGGTTATTTACTGTTGGTTACTTAATTTTTGAAATCCCTTAAGCTTTGAATGGACTGTTCCAAAATCAGAGAATCCATTGCACAAATTCAGCAGGAAATTTGTTAGTGTCAACATCCTCCAATATTATAGTTTGTGTGTTTTGAATAAGATATAATGAGGAAATACTATATCATGGTAGGGAACTGTTCACGAAAAGAGGAATAAGTCAGCAAGAGTTGTGCTTCCTTGTAAAGATTGTAATATATACCATGTTATATATTTTAGATACTATAAATAACTTAAAGCATGATGCACCACCATATGAGTTCACATGCTTATTTCTTTTGATCTTGGCTGATTTAATTTAGGAAATAAGTCTTGTATCAGTATTTTAACAGTTTTCACTTTTATAAGTCAGAGTCAGTTATTTAAAAGAACAAACATATTTTCGTGTGGCAAAAAAATTGTATTTAAGCCTGTCATTATGAGTCCATGATATATAAATCTTATTTTGTTACAAGGCTATTGAGTATAATGATTGGGAAAGTAAAGCTTAAGTGAAATCATGGGTTGATAAGTTTCATAACACAAACTACCGGCTTGTGCTGGATGCATTGTGAAATTTACAAGCTATCTTTATTTCATCATTATATAGTTTATGTAATGTATACAATATTTATCAGTCAATCCAGATTCGGGGCGTCCGTGGCCGAGTGGTTAAGGTCGTTGACTTCAAACCACTTGCCCCTTACCGCTGTGGGTTCGAATCCAGACAGGGACTTTGGATTCTTTCATGTGAGGAAGCTATCCAGCTAGCTTTCGGAACGTCGGTGGTTCTACTCAGTAGCCTGTTTGTGCCTGAAATAATGCACGGAAGGGCACCTGAGGTCTTCCTCCACCAGTAAAGCTGGAACGTCACGATATGACCTATACTGTGTCGATGTGACGTAAAACCCAAAACAAACAATCCAGATTCACCTAACTTTGCTCTAATGGATATTGCCATAGAAACGGCTCAAGTTAATACAAGTCTGTTAACTTTAGGAACAACATGCAGCTACTTGAAGGATTGTCAGACTGTATGCGTAGGGATTATCATTTTACGTCATTTTCCAACTATATGTATATACCCTGTAGGTTCAATGCCATTTAGAGGACGGAAATTAGTTTCAAAAAGCAAATCATAAGACGTCTTTCACACATGTTGCTTAATTAGTCAAAAGCATCATGACATTGGCAATAAAGTGCGCTGATTAGACCGTAGTGACCATTTTGTTTTGTGTGAAGTTTTTTAAAGAATTGTTTTTTCATTCAAATAATTTTTTAACATTGTCCTATTCATGTTGGTATTTTGTGTATTCAATGGCTTGACTTATATAACAATCAGAGTAAAGTCTACATAATTTAGGATCATCCCTTGTATGCAGTCAGAATATTGTTCAGAATTTTATATTTCATTCAGTTATATTGTAATGTCAGTTTTTAAAATTGTTATTTCATAAATTATAATTGAAAACAGTTTACTGTTACATTTGCAGCGCATCAGATCTATTATTGATTCAGTACAAAGCATATCAACAATATAATTATCGATACTGGATATCAAATATTGACGATATACCAATTATATTGATAATTTTTTTGTCTATAATTCACTTTCATGCCTGTTTAAATGATTGCAGTAAAACATAATTATTCAGTTTGTAAAAGTTTGATGACATGTCTTGTTTATAAATTATTATTTTTCTTCTCATAACTTGTATGAAATATGTGCATTACGTAACAACAGCATTAGTTTTAGACATGACACCTGCTTCTGTTATTGGTGAATTTTCATAATTTCTTGACATTTAAACGGGTTCCATTAATGTTTTTTTGACTTGACAGGACAGGAAATAATTATTTTGAAATGTATTTTCCATTTGATGTAATTCTTGACCAATAACTTTAATGCAAAATTTCCGATCATTGGCTTACTTTGTTTTCCCAGTATAATAATTTTTATCATGAAAAATTACCCAAAATTGAAAAGCGTTGCAATGCTTTTCACTGAATAGCAGAGAAATACAATTTTCAATTTATTTCTGAGTATATTTCTTAATTATCTTTTGCTTATCTTTCTGTTTTAAGTGCCTAACTTAATCAATTTAAAAATTCAAATGTTATGTTTTTTATGCTTTTGGACCTCAATGGAGTTCCTTTAAATTAATTAATTAGTCAACTTTCAAATGTGTATTGATTATTTATTGACAGAAAAATATCAATGATACATTGTTATTTTTTCTATTGATGACAAGTCTACAGCACATATTGTGGCCTTACTGCTACAACAGAATAAGTCCTTCTTAATTTAATAGCAGTTAATCAGTTATTGCACTAAGGTGACAAATTGTTTATTATGAAGATTAAAATGTATCCATTTTGTATGTTTTATATTAAAGGAATTGTATGGTTGGACCATGGATGCTATCGTGAAACAGATTGGTCTGAAAAACAATTGTAAGTAATTCAGGGAGTTTTCTAAAAGAATAGTTGATTCTTATCTTCTTAATGAACTTGTGTAGAAAGGCAAACACTTAAATGGGAAATGCCTTTGGATTAGTTTTTTTTCCTTTGGGTCAAAACCCATATTACTCATATTATGTTAATAGCATGTTATTTACACAGTTTGACTAATACAAGAATTGATGCTTATTTACTGCGTCAGGGGCATTAATTCACATTTCCCAGCATTTGATTATATTTTCGGCTTATATGAGAGTTATGAATATTTTTAAACTGATCCCATTTAGTGTATAATTAATCAAGATGCTTTTCACATAGCAATTATTACCTCCCCTGGCCGCCATTTATACGGTCATTTCCAATATGTCATATGCTTAAGATAAAAATTACTCGTAATTCTATCATCTTCATGAAAACTGTTAAAGATCTTTAACATATTGGTGCGACAGTAATATATTCCATCGTATATGTGTACAAAAATTTGACAATTCACATAAATTGGCTTTATATATTGATTTTTTCATACTTTGTCAATTATATTAAATAGAATATTGACCCACAAAATGGCTGGCAAGGGAGGTAAATATTGGAAATATCACTGTAATAAGGAACTATCCATAGGTGTATATTGTATTTTCTTTATATCATTATAAACTATTAATGGATTGAATAAAAATAATCATTGTTCTACTATACAAATATAATTATTGTAGAAAATTGAAATGTGGGTTTCTTTGGAAGAGGCCTCTAATTACATAGTGGTATGCACATTTTACTGTTAATGTTCTTTTGCCATGCAATTTTGTCTCTCTAAAATTCACTTCTGGTAAAATGAGGCATTGCAAAATTTTTTTTTCAAAGAAAAAGTTCCCAATTTGTTGAACAATTTCAATATATAAATATATAAAGGAAATTGATCATAAAGACTTTGATTTGATAAGAAATGTTTTCCTTTAATTTTCACTGTTTTATTGTATGGGTTTATTTTAAGATAAATTTATTAGAAAATGTAAAAAACAACAATGTTATCAGGAAATACATAGTGACTAACTGTTATAGATGTTAATAGATGTTTTTGTCTTATGAGGTTTTTTGTGGTGGTCTGTTGACATTTTTGACAAGGATAGTCAATAAGTTATCACTTTTAGATACGTGCTGATTTATCAGTCATTGAACTCTTGTTTATGGATTCTTCTTGTTTTGTGAATAGATGTTATTTTGTAGATGATAAGGTTAGTTTCCAGCATGTCTTCAGAGAGGAAGAACAAGGATAGCCGTTGGTTCCTGAATTCAAGCACAGAAAGGCCCTTTAATAAAACCATTGTCATTTTGTTTAAACTCTGTCCTTTTCAAAAGGCTTTTGTAAAACCACCAATCTTTTGTAAAACCACTGTCATTTTGTTTAAACACTGTCCTTTTCAAAAGGCTTTTGTAAAACCACCATTCTTTTGTGAAACCACTGTCCTTTTGTAGAACCACTGTCCTTTTGTAAAGCCATTACTCTTTTGTAGAGCCATTGTCGTTTTGTAAAACCTCTGTGCTTTTGTAAAACCACTGTTCTTTTGTAGAACCATTGTCCCATTGTGAAACCAACATCCTTTTGTAAAACCACTATCCTTTTGTTAAACCATTATTCTTTGATAAACCACTGTTCTTTTGTAGAGCCACTGTCCTTTTGTAAAGCCATTGTCCTTTTGTAGAGCCATTGTCCCATTGTAAAACCACTGTACTTTTGTAAAGCCATTGTCCCATTGTAAAACCACTGTACTTTTGTAAAGCCATTGTCCTTTTGTAAAGCCATTGTCCTTTTGTAAAGCCATTGTCCCATTGTAAAACCACTGTACTTTTGTAAAGCCATTGTCCCATTGTAAAACCACTGTACTTTTGTAAAGTCATTGTCCTTTTGTAAAGCCATTGTCCCATTGTAAAACCACTGTACTTTTGTAAAGTCATTGTCCTTTTGTTAAGCCATTGTCCCATTGTAAAACCACTGTACTTTTGTAAAGTCATTGTCCTTTTGTAAAGCCATTGTCCCATTGTAAAACCACTGTACTTTTGTAAAGTCATTGTCCTTTTGTAGAGCCATTGTCCCATTGTAAAACCACTGTCCTTTTGTAAAGCCATTGCCCCATTGTAAAACCACTGTACTTTTGTAAAGCCATTGTCCTTTTGTAAAGCCATTGTCCTTTTGTAAAGCCATTGTCCCATTGTAAAACCACTGTACTTTTGTAAAGCCATTGTCCTTTTGTAAAACCATTGTCCTTTTGTAGAACCATTGTCCTTTTGTAGAGACATTGTCCTTTTGTAGAGCCATTGTCCTTTTGTAGAACCATTGTCCTTTTGTAGAGACATTGTCCTTTTGTAGAGCCATTGTCCTTTTGTAGAACCACCAATCTTTTGTAGAACCATTGTCCTTTTGTAGAGCCATTGTCCTTTTGTAGAACCTATGTCCTTTTGTAGAACCATTGTCCCATTGTTAAACCACTGTCCTTTGATAAACCACTGTCCTGTTCTTTTGTAGAGCCACTGTCCTTTTGTGAAGCCACTGTCCATTTGTAGAGATTGTACCATTGTAAAACCATTGTCCCATTGTAAAACCTCTGTACATTGTCCTTTTGTAAAGCCATTGTCCCATTGTAAAACCACTGTACTTTTGTAGAGACATTGTCCCTTTATATACAAGCTTGATAGCTTTAAGACTTTTGGTCACAAAGAATTAAAACTTTTTTCAAAATTATTTTAACTTTTTGCAGGTACTTTTTGTGGTGTATTCCGACGTCAAGCTTTAGACAGAGGTGCCCTTCTTTTGAAGGTTGATAAAATAGCTACAGGTATGTCTGTGTTTCTAAATGTTCTGAAAAGAAGAGGTTACATGTTGTAAAAGTCTACAATATAGAAAAGTGGATAATATCATTACAGTAGAAATGAGTTACAGTTATATGAGAATACAGTTATTACATATGTTGACCACTTTTTGGTATTTTTCTTGAATTGTAAGTGCCGATTGCAATAATTATGTAAATTACTTTATTTGCTCACCTAACAATATTTTACATTTAAATACATTTCCAAAATTTTCATGATAATTAAAATGAATCTGGAGGCATGCTGCTTTAAAATAAAAATATCTGCAAAAGATAATAAAAGAGATTCCCCTAATTTGAAAAAAAAGATCTCAGTCACATCTCTTTAATAAAGCCAACTGACAAATATTGTGTTGCTGTAATGAAATGGTACCAAAATTAATGGTGTAAGGGAATGTAATGGGCTCAATAAGTTATAAAATAGTAAATGAAAGCATACCGTTGAGGTTATGTAAATATGAAAATGTAAAGGGAAGTGGCTAGAAGTTTGAAACTGTCTTCTTTCCTTATTTTGTTGGTTTCATTAATATAGAAGTTAGTCTTTTATCTGCTAAATTTGAAGTAAGGCCAAAAAAGGCAACCAAAAAAAAAACAACAAAAAAAACTCTTTTTTCTGGTGCCCGGCCTTAAAGGGTAAGTAGGTAGGAATTTTTTTACATGTATATATATTGTAAAGAATAGACTTTGAAAAAGGAAAAGTTGGTATTTAAAAAGAAGATTGAAATTTTTTGGGGGAGAGGGGGTGTCTGAGGGGGGGGTCTAAGGACTTTTCCTAATGTGAATTTGGTACTGTATGTTGTAAATTTAATGGATTTCATTATCAATCAGTCAGTGCTAAGAAATTATTCAGCCATATTTTAGACTCTGGTAAGACAGAGTGAACGTGCAGGTTGGCTTGTCTATACTTATTATCATATTTCTAAATGCAGGCAAGCAAAAGGAAGGGTCTTAGTAAATGAATGCACTGAATAAACCAATACAATCCCATATCTACGCTTTCCTGGAACAGGATATTGAAATCTGTTCATAATAAATGATCTTGTCTTAACATCTTTTGATATATTATTATGATTACTCTGACACTAGGGATTGGTGTTCCGTTGACGTCTATATGGACGTATTTTTGAAAAGGATTGATGTTTTTTCATTTCAATGTCTTTATATAACTTCTGCCTTGGGTGAGCAAGTGCTCATTGATGCTATTAATAACTTGGGTTCAAATCAAAAATGCTTAGTAAATAAGGTTACAGATTTCAAATAATTTGCAACACACGACAAATGTTAGTGAAGAAAAATAGTCAAAAATAAATAAATTTTATTTATTTGATTTGAGTTAAAAGCCTTTAAACACTTCAGTTTTAGCTTGACTATCCAATAAGAATAAGAAGAGCTATCCTAGTCGCCCGAGCGTCGGCGTAAGTTTTTGTAACACCTCATATATTTCCAAAGTACAGTCAAACTTGTATAAAGCGACCGCGCAAGGGAAACACCCAAAACGGTCGCTTAATGAAACAGTCTCTTAAGACAAAACATGATATAAAAGTCAAAATTTATACATGACATCTTTCTAATGCGGTTGGAATGTTTTTCAACTTCATTTTTATATAAATTTTGAATAATTAGTACGCTCCGATAATCTAAATGGATGCTTATGTAAAAATAACTCTGATATTTATTGACAAAACAGTTTTGATCCATTACGTACATGTTTGACATTTTTTCCAGAATTTTTTAACTTCTCCGTTGTTTGTCCTTTACTCCAACACGAAAACTTTATTAGTGAAGATACTTTCTGTTGTGCATTTTTTGTTTGAAATAAACAAACTACATCTGATTGTTACGATTAATTTAATTGATGATCAAGTTCAAGGTCAATTCAATGCAGTCTAAATGTCAACAAGCGAAGCGTATACACCATCTCAGTAGGGGCGGAGCGTTGCGTTGTTTATTCGATATAATTGGATAATACACGTCACGCATATACTTAACTTCATTTGCATACGCTAAAACGGTTTGGGAAATAGAGTTTTTCACACGTTTATTTGTTGTGTTTGATTTTTGACACTTGTCACTTTACGAGGCAGCGTTCTCTAAAAACAAAATTACTTGACAGGTAAAAGTGGTCGTTTAATGAAAAGATTGATCTCATTTAGGTGACTAATTAGCGGTCGCTGGTCGCGTTGAGCAAAAGTCGCTTAATACATTAAAGATATAGAGAGAAAATGATTGGGGGGAATTTAAAGTGGTCGTTTAAGACAAAAGTCGCTTAAAACACGTGGTCGCATGGGCAAGTTAGACTGTACATTGACATATGGCTTTGAAACTTTTCACCCTTGTTCACCATCATTACCTCAACCTGTAAACAGGAGGAGGTAACTCTATCAATCATATTGACAGAATTATGCCCCTTTTTTGACTTATAATTTACGTTAAAGTTTTTGTAACACCTCAAACATTTCAAAGTAATATTGACAGTATCCATGAAACATCAGAATGGTTGTTCTTTTTCAGGGCATAATGCTGACGACATTGCTGAGACTGTGATCATGAATGGTAAGATATTGAGGGATATACTGTAACTATAGTTGTTCTAAACATTTTTTTTATCAATTTGAAACCATATCCTGCAGAATTTCATATATGGACCATTCCAGCTTCCTTCTACTGAATTGTCCATTGTCAATTCTAAGGAAATCAGGTTTTAAATCTGAAGTTGTACAGTCTAAAGCACAAAAAGTGCTGGCTGGATTGCCTCAAAACTATGGACAAATGCTTATAGCTTTTGATTTCATTATTCTAAGAGAAAAGTTACAGTGTTCTGACAAGCTTTACAAAGGTTTTTGGGGAAAATGTTACATTTAATTTAAAATAACATACAGTTATCCGGATTCCATTGTATGGTTAACCTAAGGTCTTCCAGGAAAAACTGAAAATTTGAGTCGCTATATGACTATTCCAGTGTTGTTCTTACCTACAACCTAAACAAAAAATACAAATAAAATGAAATAAACAAACATAATTATAGTTTTAAATATTTAATTTTCATATATTTCAGTTCTGAGAGGGGATATTGGGAGACTTAGACGCTGCACAGCAATTACTACAGTAAGTACGGTACTTTCCGTTACATTTCTAGCTTAGACGCTGCACAGCAATTACTACAGTAAGTACTGTACTTTCCGTTACATTTTCTAGCTAGTGAAAAATTGCTGACTTTCTGCAATGGACTTGTCCAGCATACATTGTTTTGGAACTGTCCATTATCAGTTTTTGGGGATATCAAGATGGAAATTTAGAAATAGCTAGCCAACAGTTTAGAGCCTGGTCAGTCTGCATGGATAGTTGAGGTTGATGTGGTTTTTGACAGGTATTACTGGCCTATTATTTTCTGTTCCAGAAGGTTAAGAGTTTAAATTTCTAGAAGGGACAGTATATTATCACAGATGTGTGCCACCAGTATTGAGCCAAGCACATTCTTATTTAATATTTATTTACAAGTGAAAATGTTGGTGTTTTTTTTGCAAATTATTAAATATTGGTAGCTAAAAGTGAACTGGTTTGTATCATGCGACAATTGAATCATTAATATGAATGTGTAATAATATAATATCTGTTTTACATTGTACTGATGGGAACTGATTTGTATAATACAGCAATTGAGTTCTTGATATAAGTGTGTAGTAATATGCAGATATGTTTTACAGGGTACAGATGGGGCATTACCAAGATGTAAACCTTTTAAGTACACGTATGAGAAAGAGATTGTGATGTACGCCTACTTCAAAAATCTCGACTACTTCTCAACAGAATGTATATACTCTCCGAATGCCTACAGGTACTTATATCTGAAACAATTTACACCTGCATTGTGAAAAGGTTGCGGTAATTTTTTAAACCTTTTCCATGATAAATTTCTCAAGTGGACTTGAACATCTTTCAATTTGGGCACAATGAATGTATCATTTTCTTGGAAAAATTTCAAAGTATAAACTGAATAGAGAAAAGAGCAGGCCAAGATCGGACCACATGGATGTGCTGATTTATATTGGTCTGCACTGGTCACATGGCTAGAATCTGTTGATGACTGCATGCTTGAAAGTTAAGTTACGCATATATTGTAAAAATATAAAAGGTTTTTGTGGCTATTTTCAAGTTTTAGTGTTATAGAATGACATTGGGTTCCTCTCCATGCATTCTGTCAGTCACAAGAGGACACCAGTGGCCCCATGTTCACAAAGATTTAAGGATCAGGATCAAATTTAAAAACTCCATTATTCTCCATTGATAATCCTTATAGATGAAAAATTTATTAATAACTTGAAAAAATTGGACTTCGAATGACATATATGGAATTTTAGAATAAATTTATTATTATTTTTGCAAGATACGGGCATTTTACAGTTGATCGAAATTTTGATCTGATCCTAAAACTGATCCTTATTGTGATCTGATTATTTCTAATTTTCTTTTGTTATTCGTCGATTTTATCCCAAAATAGTTTTGTTTCTTTGCAAATCAGCAATATTTTACATTTTGAATAATTAACATTAAATTCTAGCAAAATATGATCAATTTTAGTTTTCTAAAACAATGAAAATAAAATTAGGATCATTTGATCCTGATCCTGATCTTTTCTTAGTGAACACGGGGCCAGAGTAGAAAATAGATAGAAATATTTCCTAATGTGTGAAATAATCTTTTCCTTAGGGATACCAGTCAGTTGTAACACTGGTCAATTACCTGATCAGTCTCTAAACGTTTAAGTTTTAGATTCTACATAACTTGTTGATTATTATTCATGATTAAAGGCATTTACTTATCATGATTGGTGTAAATAGGAAATATCAGAGGAGGCAAAGAAAGGTTAACAATTGATCGGTTAAAGACAACTAATTGACAATTTAATTTCCCATATGTATAGTTAACTTAACCTGTTAACAAGTCACTTGTCAAAAGTGTTTAGGTTGTCTCATCTCTATTTAGTCATACATAATAGTGTAGAATTATTTTTGTAGCTCTAATAAGAAAAGTGTTTGACCATCTGGTTGATTGCATCAATATTGACTTGCCAAAATTTCACTAGTATGATCTGTACAGTTATGATGGCCAGTACTTTGGTGCTTTCTGACCAGACACCGTTGACTGCTTCGCATTAGCCTGTTGATACTGAATTTCCTGAACCATTACCATGCTGAAATCAAATGTGATAATCCTTTGTCACCAGTATAGAGCCAGGCTTGCCTGAGTCACATCCCTACAGTCTGACCAAGCTCTATACAGTTGGCTGACCAACTTCAAATTTTCATCTTGATGTCCAGAAAAATCATTATGAACTTTTCAAAAAATGGAAGCTGGACAAGTCCATCAAAGAAATTCAGGGTTAAAGGAAGGAAGTGTAATATATTTGATATAACAATTCTCAAATCCCCCCAAAATTTTAATGGGCAGTCCCAAATATGAAAGCTAGGCAAGTCCATGAAGACAGAAGGTAAATGGTTGAAATATTACAAGGAAAATAATTTACTTATATAGAGAATGTTTGTGTTTCTACCTATCTGCCGACGTCTTGTTCTTTAAAAATTCAGTATGGACACCTGGGGGAATCTCATTTTTCAATATTTATAAAAGAGAAAAAGAACAAGCAACAAATAGTGATCAATTGAAGAAAAAAAACATTGCTACATTTAAAGAAAGTATAGTATTGCTAAAAATTATCATTTTTAGAATAATTTTAGAAGAATATTTGATATTGTTTTTTGCTCTTGAGAAGTTACACAAAAAAGCACCAAAAAGCTTTAGAATGTCTTCAAATATAACTATTATATATTAGAAGAGCATTGTTACTTTTGTTGAAATTTTTAGCTCGACTATTCGCAGAATAATCGAGCTAATGCAGTCACCCATTTGTCGGCGTCGGCGTCCCTGTGGTTAAGTTTTTGTATGTAAGCTGGTATCTCCATAACTACTGAAGGGAATGGATTGAAACTTCACACACTTGTTCTCTGTGATTATCTAAGATGATTGGCACAAGTCCCATAACTCTGATTTGCTTTTTTTCATAATTATGCCCCTTTTTCGACTTAGAAATTCTTGGTTAAGTTTTTGTATGTAAGCTGGTATCTCCATAACTACTGAAGGGAATGGATTGAAACTTCACACACTTGTTCTCTGTGATTATCTAAGATGATTGGCACAAGTCCCATAACTCTGATTTGCTTTTTTACATAATTATGCCCCTTTTTCGACTAAGAAATTCTTGGTTAAGTTTTTGTATGTAAGCTGGTATCTCCATAACTACTGAAGGGAATGGATTGAAACTTCACACACTTGTTCTCTGTGATTATCTAACATGATTGGTACAAGTCCCATAACTCTGATTTGCTTTTTTACATAATTATGCCCCTTTTTCGACTTAGAAATTCTTGGTTAAGTTTTTGCGTGTAAGCTGGTATCTCCATAACTACTGATGGGAATGGATTGAAACTTCACACACTTGTTCTCTGTGATTATCTAAGATGATTGGTACAAGTCCCATAACTCTGATTTGCTTTTTTACATAATTATGCCCCTTTTTCGACTTAGAAATTCTTGGTTAAGTTTTTGCGTGTAAGCTGGTATCATGTAACTACTGAAGGGAATGGATTGAAACTTCACACACTTGTTCTCTGTGATTATCTAAGATGATTGGCACAAGTCCCATAGCTCTGATTTGCTTTTTTACATAAATAATGCCCCTTTTTCGACTAAGAAATTCTTGGTTAAGTTTTTGCGTGTAAGCTGGTATCTCCATAACTACTGAAGGGAATGGATTGAAACTTCACACACTTGTTTTCTGTGATTATCTTAGATGATTGGCACAAGTCTCATAACTCTGATTTGCTTTTTTACATAATAATGCCCCTTTTTCGACTTAGAAATTCTTGGTTAAGTTTTTGTGTGTAAGCTTGTATCTCCATAACTACTGAAGGGAATGTATTGAAACTTGAACGGTTTGTACCTTTTCGGACAATTTTATGTATTCATATAGGTAAGCATTATTATACTCAATGAAACACCCTTGTGACAAATTTTCGAATAGTCGAGCGTTACTGTCCTCCGACAGTTCTTGTTATTTATGTCTGTTCTATTGACAAATGTGTCTGGACATCAGGTTACCTGTTGTAAATTTTTATTTTTTTTTTGTCTGTTTGAAAAAAAAACTGTCTCAAATAAAGTAAATGTTATATGAGATTGGATGCAAATGTATAAGAGGTAGGCAAGTCATGTTAATTGCAGGTACTCAAATCCCTACAAGATGACAGAAGGGTTACCGCTGGTCCTAAATGCTTTAACCAACAAGGGGTGTCTGTTTCTTAGTGGTAAAGGTTGTTGACTTCAAACTACTTGCCTCTCACACCTGAAGGTTCGAGCCATGCCAGTGTCATTGGATTCTTCCATGTGTAAAAGCTATCCCGCTAGCTCTGGCATGTGTAAAATAATGTACATCGTAAATTTTGTTGATAAGAGTTTTAATGTTCTATTGAATACTTAAATGATTTGAACAATAATTAAGCTGCGCCATGACAAACCCAACATAATGGGTTTGTGACCAGCATGGATGCAGACCATCTGGGCAGTCTGATCAGGATCCATGCTGTTCGCTTACAAACCATATAACAAGTAGAGAAACTGATAGCTGTTTTACTATAATATTATGCATGATGATATTTTTTTCAGAGGGTTTGCGAGGGCATATATAAAAGACGTTGAGAAAATCAGGTCAAGTGCTATTATAGGTCAGTATTTACATATTTTGAGGAAATATTTTAAAACATTTAAAGTATCCCATCCATTCATTAACCTTTGATCTTCTATAATTTTACAAAATTACAGTGAATTTGCCAGAACCATTATAACAAATTGAGGCTTATATGAGTATGTATAAAATATGAAATATTTAAAACCTATATAGGGCATCCGTGGCCGAGTGGTTCAGGTTGTTGACTTTAAACCACTTAACCCTCACTGCAGTGGGTTTGACCCAACAGGGATTTTGTATTCTTTCATGTCAGGAAGCTATCCAGCTAGCTTAGTGAACATCAGTCATTTTACTCAGCTATCCAGCTTGCTAACAAAATGTCAGTGGTTTTACTCAGGTGTCTGTTTGTGCTTGAAATAATGAAGGAAGGGCACCTGAGGTCTAATTCTTCCACAAGTAAAACTAGAAAGTCTCCATATGACCTTTATTGTGTTTGTGCAACATAAAAGCCCTTCAAAAAAAAAATTAAAACCTATTCTTTTTTGGAAAAAAGTTTCTGTTTGAAATTTCGTCCATCTGTCATTTCTTGTGATTTAAGCCAACTTAAAAAACTTTTAATGACATACATTGAAGGAGTGAAATGAGTTTTTGTTGCACTTATTAAAGTGGTATAAAAACACGGGAAATAACAATGATGGGATGAAATTATAAGAACTGATGATTGGTGTATTAAGTGAAGCCAGTGGCAATAACTACTCACCCATGCCACTAGTAAAAGGCCAGATCATCTTGAATGGGGCGTCCGTGGTTAAGGTCGTTGACTTCAAACCACTTGCCCCTCACCGCTGTGGGTTCGAATCCTGACAGGAACTTTGGATTCTTTCATGTGAGGAAGCTATCCAGCTAGCTTAAGGAACATCGGTGGTTCTACTCAGGTGCTCGTTTGTGCCTGAAATAATTCACGGAAGGGGACCTGAGGTCTTCCTCCACCAGTAAAGCTGGAACTTCGCCAAATGACCTATACTGTGTCAGTGTGACGTAAACCCAATCAAAACAAACAAAAGATTATCTTGACCAGACCTTGTCCTGGTAACTGTTGAATTGATGTGTTTATACATTGAAATACCTTTACCTGCTGAATTTTTAAATTGACTTGCCTAGCAACCACTGTCAAGACTGGTGAAAAGGGCTAATCACTTTCAGTTTCAGTAGCATTGACAATCTCGTAATTTACACTTGCCCCTAACTGCTGTCGGAATAAATCATGACAGGCACTGGGAATTCTTTCATGTGGGTAAGCTATCTAGCTAGCTTACGAGACATCAGTAGTTCTACTTAAATGACTGTCGTTTGTATGGCTGTCAATGATGGAAATTTTATATTGATACATTGAAATCTTAAGTATCGATGATATATATACATCAAATTCAATGGCTTCTAAGAGTATATTTGACTGTGTGTAATAAACTGATATCTTAGTGTATGCAAGCATGGTTTTAAACATTACAAACACAGAATACCAACAGAAAGTATGTTTTCTTGTCACCGTATCATACAATCCTCTGAAAATCTAATCCAGTGTTCAGTTAAAAACAAGTAGGCTAGAAAAAGGAAGAAAAGTGACTTTCTTCCTTTTCACAAGACATGAAGAAATGGGCTTTAAATTCTATTGATATTCTAAATTGTGAATCAGTATGGTATCAATTGTTGAATATCGATGATATATCAATATTGGGATATTCAATGACAGCCATAGTTGTTTTTGCCTGAAATAATGCACACGTGGGGCCACCTGAGGTGTTACCAAATCTGGAAAGTTACCAAATAACCTTTAGGGTGTTGGTATGGTATAAAACCCTACCATAAAAAAAAAAAAAACAACAAGCAATTCATTATTTAAAGCATGACTAGTCAATTAACAAATATTCAGCATGCTACTTTCTTAAATAACGAAGGTGTCATAACTCTATTAGTATAGTATTTGTTTATGCTTTCCTGTGTAATTTACACACATATATTTGGAATTGAATGTGGACGTACAAAGTTAGGTTCCCGTGGAAATAGAAGTTATTGCCTTTATTAAGGTTCATTGAAGGTTCCATGATAACCGCCATATGAACACATCTGCAGATGTTTCAAAATTCAAAATTTTACCAGTTCATTATAAATGTTGAATTCTGCTTAAGCGGGTGCTAGGGGGGAATGGAGTGTAACTTGCACTTTCCAGTACTGTTCATGAACAGGCTCAATCAAACCGAGCCTGCAACATTTTCAATATTGCCGTGTTTGGCTTTTTTTTAGGGATTCTGTTTTTCTCTATTTTATGTACCAACATGTATTCAACTTCAGTTGAGAAAATTAGTAACATAATTGTAAAAATAAAATATACAAAACCTTAAGTTTTCTGGACCTCCAGTTTTTTCAGGATGGGAAGGGGGAAGGGTTAAAAGTAACAGTTGACAAAACAAATCCCATATTTAAAGCATGACTAGACAATTTTAGAAAAATTCAGCATGGTTCAATCGAAAATAATATTATCAGTAAGGATGGTCTCATATTGACTTTGTTATTGCCTTGTGATGCTATTTACTAGTATTACAAGGGATTGACGGATCTGGTAGAACGTTATTTCTGGTATACAATGTCATTTACCTTTATGAATGTATTAATATAAAATTAGTACCTACAGTTTGGTTCTGGTAGGCGTTCTACAAGAAAAGCACCTGTACATAGAAAACGTGAAAATGTATTGATTAGAAATAAGTAAAGTAAAATCAGTCCTATATTTTTAACATTTCCTTACATAATGGCAGATATAATAAGAGATAAAACCATAAAAAAATCCCAACATGTTCCAATCTGCTTATTATGATGGTCACTATAGTTTTAAAAAACACATGAGCCGCGTCACGACAAAACCAACATAGTGTGTTTGCGACCAGCATGGATCCAGACCAGCCTGATCAGGATCCATGATGTTCGCTTACCAACTCTATTACAAGTAGAGAAACCAGATAGCGATTCTGGGTAGCTGATTGAAATAGGTAGTGACGTTGAATGACTGACCCCCCCCCCCCCAACTCCCCACCCCCATGCTATGTCTAGCATGAAGAACTTTTTTATGTGAGCAAGCTATCCAGTTAGCTTATTCAAGGTTTGGTAACTCTACCCAGTTCTAAGAGTATTCAGCAATGCTGGTAAAAGTTTTTAGAATTGTGATATTACCTCAGTAGATTTGATGTCGCTTTTCATCAAAACGAAATTCTGCAAGCAAATCTGCATATTTTCTGTGTATATTTCAGACATTATACATTCTGGCGAGAGTTTGTCTGTGAAGAAGGAAGTCAGGATGCCAGTGCAAGGTAATGTAAAATGTTGCCTGCATTGTGTTCTGTTTTGTTATTTCTTTCTCAAAAACATAGGAACTTGGGAACAAGACTGCATATTGTGGCACATAAATCCGAATCCGCACTGGCTTAACATCTTGTTTGTCCGAACTTTGAATATCTTTTCATGTCATGCGAGAAGGTGTTCTTTGATAATATAATCTCAATTTAATATAATCTGCTAATTTCAAAATCAATCAAATATTGAAAAAAGAATTTATAATACCGTAAAATTTGACCAATTTTAAAAGTAACAGATTGTGTTCAATTGATAATATATTCTTTGAGGCCATACACTCGGATAATACTAAAAGATATTTAGACGTAGGAGGAACATTTTTCAAAAACATTACACAATAGAAAGTATGCTCTGCAATCTGCGGTCCTATTCCAGAGTTCCTATGCCCAAGACCTTGAATGAAATGGATGTAACTGATATGAAGGGAACACTCAGATACATCGGTTTTGTACCAGGTCCTTTACTTTAACTTTGACATCACATATATTGTTGAAAAAAGGTGTAAACTCTACATTTATAGGTTATATTTTTCTGGTCCTTCTGAATCATTGATTCCAGCACTTTTATGTATTGAAAATTGAGTACATCTCAAGCTGGTGCTAGGGGGCGTGAAGGATGTTGTACTTTTTCATTATCCCTGCAATTTTCATTAATTTTAATGTGAATAATGCTTCTGAGGGATCACACTTTTATTGAATGATTGTATTATAACAAATGTTGGTATTGACTTGAGCACCTAACTGCCTTTAGCTTTTTGTTGGGATTTCAGAAAATCATAGCTCACCTTTTGCTTTGTAACAGTGATATCATAGTTCATGTTCTTGTTATTTTCTTTTTCTTTGTTCATTTATTGTTCTGTTTAAATTTTTAATTTTAAAGTCATGACCAAAGGAATCTTGGTAATTTAGTTGGACTATCAGGGACCTGCATTTGTAGTCCCAGGATGTGATGTGTGACAGACAAATTGGTGTTGTCTGGAACTCAGCAAATGAAGGTTTTCCCCCATCTTAAATGGGGATACAAAACAAACCTTTATTGTTAATGCTTCACTGTGCGATGCTAATAAAAAAAAAGGGAGTTGATGAAAATATGTTGAACTACATTGATTGAAGAAGTTATTTTTTGACATCATTTGGTTTTATCGAAGTCACATCTCCCAAATAAGCATTGCCTTTTTCATGCTGTGCATATGTTGTGTCATAATGCACTATATTGTGGCATAATGCACTTGATAGTTCTGTATGTTTAATAGGAGAACAATGTGAAGTTTGTTAGAAAGAGATATATACAATGATAAATATTATGTGTATACTGTATACAAAAATATAGGTGTTTGTGAACGGTGCGGATATATATCGAGCAATCCCGTATGTAAGGCATGTGTCATGTTGGAGGGACTCAATAAGGGACTACCGAGACTGGGCATCGGTAAAACACACAAGGAAAGGAGAAAGGTATGCTATGATCTTGTGTTTAACAAAGTTTGCGACCAGTGCAGACCAAGATCAGCTAGCACATTTGAGCCGCGTCACAACGAAACCAACATAATGCTTTTGCGACCAGCATGGATCCATGCTGTTCGCTTACAAACCCTATAACAAGTAGTGAAACTGATAGCAAACAGCATGGATCCTGATCAGACTGCGTGGATGGGCAGGCTGGTCTGGATCCATGCTGGTCGCAAACGCATTATGTTGGTTTTGTCATGACGCGGCTCATTTGTGTTGTCTAATCATGGTCTGTACTGTTTGCTTTTCAGTCAATCAGTTAGTATGTATTTCGAAATTTTCCGAAAAAATAATAATTGGTTTGTCTAGATTGAAAGATGAGCATGTCGATTTAAGGTATTAAGTGATGTAAGAGGTAAACCTGAAATGATTTATTGTTGTTAGATACATGTTTTATGAGGTTATTATACATTGTTGAGTACAATACTGAATTCTATTGGACAAGTACACAGCTGTCAAACCTATTTTGGATTAGGTTATAGCCCAATCTAATATAGGTTTTTACAGCTATGTATGAGTCCAATAGAATCAGTTTTGTTCTCAACAATATATGATGACCTTTATTTCACAGTTTTGGCATTTTTGTAGCAATTAAAATAAGAAATCAATATGATTTTTTACTCTGAAAATGAAAATGAGGCCAAATGTAGTACAATATGCTTTTGATATAGATATTATAGACTCTGAAAATAAAAAATGAGGTTCTATGGGGTTTGATATGCATTTGATATGGATTTTTTGAACTCTGAAAATTGAAATAAGTCTAAATTGATATGATAGATCTGATAATGATTTTAAGTTCAAATTCTAAAAATATATTGGTCATGTTTTATAAGGTGTGAAATAAATTTATTTATCATTGTTTTAATTATATTGGTTGAAATTCCAGTTTTTATGTAAGATGGAACATACAGGGCTAGGATTAAGTTTTATGACAGTTTTCATTTAACTCTTAACATGCTGAATTTCTTAAATTGACGTGTCCATTTTCGGAACTATCCATTACCAGTAAGTTGAGTGGCCAACAATTACAAGCCTGGTCAGACTACACGGATGTGCAGACTGGCCTGGCTCTGTTCTGGAGGTGAAGGCTAGCCACTTTCAATTCCTACAGATTAATGGCTATTTTAAATTCCTACAGATTAATGGCTACTTTAAATTCCTACAGATTAATGGCTACTTTAAATTCCTACAGATTAATGGCTACTTTCAGTTCCTACAGATTAATGGCTAAACTGAGTTACCTTCACTAATAAGTTGATACCAGTTTTCTAGAAATATTTAAAAATTACATCAGATTATCAATTGTTTGATTGATGAGATGAAAAATTAAATATAAAAGATGAAAGGTAATAAAAAACAAAATTGAAACCAGTCACAGAATGAAGCATTTTCATTGGCTCATTTAGAATCAGTTCAAATAACTAAGCAGAGAGGAATGTCACAAAGGAAGATGTAAGTCTTATTTGTCTTTCTAGCTCAGAATCTAAAACGCAAACAGTTTTCCATCAGTTAATATGGTGTAACAAATTTGAGACAGCATTTAATTATCTACGTAGGTCTAGTGTTAATTTGACCTTCACGCCATGCTTTGTTTTTCTTTCAAATTGGAGACTGGAAACTTTACGTTGGTCCATTGTTTACTTGAACATTTAATAAAACATGTAAAAACAATGAGTATTGACTAATGTTTGATCATTTAGTAAACCAATCCTCAGTTTAAACAAAGGAAACCAAAGTATGCAGAAAACTGAAGTTTAAGATGGACACAAAAAAATTTCAATAAAAAAAAACAACAGTCACCCCTTTTATGAATTAAACATTGCCACCTATTATAAAGCGCCCCCTTTGACACTCAAAACTTCGGGTTCTTTTTTAAATTAGGGAAAATATCTAAAAAATTCGGGGGTTTTTCAGGGGCCGTTTGTGCCTAAAATTTATTTATGAAGGGGCCCCTTGGGGTTTTTCCCCCCCAGTAAATGGAATGTGCCCTATGTTTCGGGGCAAAAGAAACCCAAAAATAAAAAAGGGAATATACGGTGTTTAAATTAAAATCTGTAAAATATGATAAAAATGAGTTTTTATAATGAACAGATCGGCAATCCATATCATTTGTTGAAATTCAGGTAAAATTGGTTGTATTTTCAGCTTGTCTATTAAAATATCTCCCTTGACCATTGGCTAAATTGGTTGTTTTTGCTGGCACATCTGTTGCCTCAGATTTAAATAAAAACTTTGTATAAGAACTCTATGAACATGAAGTATAGTAAAGAACAGGATTTTATTAATTATCAAAATTTACATTTTGTATTATACAGAAACAATAACTGTGAAACACTTATATAATCATTTTGTAGCTGTTTAGAAATTTCCGAGACAATATTACTGTATTGGTCATATTGTTTAAATTTAAGTTTGACCTTCAATGTGAAAACATAATAAAACATAAAATTTTGAAGAAAAAACATGTTGACTAATTGCAACTTATTGCTTGCATAAATAATATCTATTATTCTTTTTTGGGAGAAACATAAATATGACAAATATAAACAAATATATATTGTTTGATCAAAACAGACGCTTGACAACTTAGCAATTAGCTTTTCCAATAGAAAAATTTAGTTAATATTGAATAGACTCATTCCAGAATTAAGAATATTTTGGGTTTTTCCCAGCTTATCAGGGGATACAAACAAACTTTTACAGTTACAGCTTCAAAAAAAAGAAGCGCAACAGGTTACTTATCTATTGTGACCGGTAGTGCACCGTGTAGCTATTATGGTAAAAGTTTGTAAGTACCGGGGAATTACAGCTTGGAAAAAACCACATTTGCTGATTCCCGCATAATGTTTATTGCAAAAATATCTGTGGTATTAGCCATGCAGACAATAAGGCAAGAACAATTCCTTGAGTGATCAACTCAACTTTCATAAAAGGCCTCGGGCGTTATTGTTGTGGTTTTGGTAGCTGATCATATTTTGACTGGCATATGTAGAGCATAGCAAAACACTCTTTTATAGGCAACTTGTCAAATATTTATCATAGTAGTTTCTAATATGGACAACTTGTCATATATTTACCATAGTTGTTTCTAATATGGGCAACTTGTTATATATTTATCATAGTAGTTTCTAATATGGGCAACTTGTCATATATTTATCATAGTAGTTTCTAATATGGGCAACTTGTCATATATTTATCATAGTAGTTTCTAATATGGGCAACTTGTCATATATTTATCATAGTAGTTTCTAATATGGGCAATTTGTCATATATTTATCATAGTAGTTTCTAATATGGACAACTTGTCATATATTTATCATAGTAGTTTCTAATATGGGCAACTTGTCATATATTTATCATAGTAGTTTCTAATATGGGCAACTTGTCATATATTTATCATAGTAGTTTCTAATATGGGCAACTTGTCATATATTTATCATAGTAGTTTCTAATATGGGCAATTTGTCATATATTTGTCATGTAGTTTCTAATATGACAACTTGTCATATATTTATCATAGTAGTTTCTAATATGGACAACTTGTCATATATTATATCATAGTAGTTTCTAATATGGGCAACTTGTCATATATTTATCATAGTAGTTTCTAATATGGACAACTTGTCATATATTTATCATAGTAGTATCTAATATGGACAACTTGTCATATATTTGTCATAGTAGTTTCTAATATGGACAACTTGTCATATATTTATCATAGTAGTTTCTAATATAGGCAACTTGTCATATATTTATCATAGTAGTTTCTAATATGGGCAAGTTGTCATATATTTATCATAGTAGTTTCTAATATGGACAAACTTGTCATATATTTGTCATAGTAGTTTCTAATATGGACAACTTGTCATATATTTATCATAGTAGTTTCTAATATAGGCAACTTGTCATATATTTATCATAGTAGTTTCTAATATGGGCAAGTTGTCATATATTTATCATAGTAGTTTCTAATATGGACAACTTGTCATATATTTATCATAGTAGTTTCTAATATGGGCAACTTGTCATATATTTATCATAGTAGTTTCTAATATGGGCAAGTTGTCATATATTTATCATAGTAGTTTCTAATATGGACAACTTGTCATATATTTGTCATAGTAGTTTCTAATATGGGACAACTTGTCATATATTTATCATAGTAGTTTCTAATATGGGCAAGTTGTCATATATTTGTCATAGTAGTTTCTAATATGGACAACTTGTCATATATTTATCATAGTAGTTTTAATATAGGCAACTTGTCATATATTTATCATAGTAGTTTCTAATATGGACAACTTGTCATATATTTGTCATAGTAGTTTCTAATATGGGCAAGTTGTCATATATTTATCATAGTAGTTTCTAATATGGACAACTTGTCATATATTTGTCATAGTAGTTTCTAATATGGACAACTTGTCATATATTTGTCATGTAGTTTCTAATATGGGCAACTTGTCATATATTTGTCATGTAGTTTCTAATATGGGCAACTTGTCATATATTTATCATAGTAGTTTCTAATATAGGCAACTTTGTCATATATTTATCATAGTAGTTTCTAATATGGGCAAGTTGTCATATATTTATCATAGTAGTTTCTAATATGGACAACTTGTCATATATTTATCATAGTAGTTTTCTAATATGGGCAACTTGTCATATATTTATCATAGTAGTTTCTAATATGGGCAAGTTGTCATATATTTATCATAGTAGTTTCTAATATGGACAACTTGTCATATATTTGTCATAGTAGTTTCTAATATGGACAACTTGTCATATATTTATCATAGTAGTTTCTAATATGGGCAAGTTGTCATATATTTGTCATAGTAGTTTCTAATATGGACAACTTGTCATATATTTATCATAGTAGTTTCTAATATAGGCAACTTGTCATATATTTATCATAGTAGTTTCTAATATGGACAACTTGTCATATATTTGTCATAGTAGTTTCTAATATGGGCAAGTTGTCATATATTTATCATAGTAGTTTCTAATATGGACAACTTGTCATATATTTGTCATAGTAGTTTCTAATATGGACAACTTGTCATATATTTGTCATGTAGTTTCTAATATGGGCAACTTGTCATATATTTGTCATGTAGTTTCTAATATGGGCAACTTGTCATATATTTATCATAGTAGTTTCTAATATGGGCAAGTTGTCATATATTTATCATAGTAGTTTCTAATATGGACAACTTGTCATATATTTATCATAGTAGTTTCTAATATGGGCAAGTTGTCATATATTTATCATAGTAGTTTCTAATATGGGCAACTTGTCATAAATTCATATATTTATCAAAGTAGTTTCTAATATGGACAATTTGTCATATATTTGTCATAGTAGTTTCTAATATGGGCAACTTGTCATATATTTATCATAGTAGTTTCTAATATGGGCAACTTGTCATATATTTATCATAGTAGTTTCTAATATGGACAACTTGTCATATATTTGTCATAGTAGTTTCTAATATGGACAACTTGTCATATATTTATCATAGTAGTTTCTAATATGGGCAACTTGTCATATATTTATTATAGTAGTTTCTAATATGGGCAACTTGTCATATATTTATCATAGTAGTTTCTAATATGGGCAACTTGTCATATATTTATCATAGTAGTTTCTAATATGGGCAAGTTGTCATATATTTATCATAGTAGTTTCTAATATGGGCAACTTTTCATATATTTATCATAGTAGTTTCTAATATGGGCAACTTTTCATATATTTATCATAGAAGTTTCTAATATGGGCAATTTGTCATATATTTATCATAGTAGTTTCTAATATGGGCAACTTGTTATATATTTGTCCTAGTAGTTTGGGCAACTTGTTATATATTTGTCATAGTAGTTTCTAATATGGACAACTTGTCATATATTTATCATAGTAGTTTCTAATATGGACAACTTGTCATATATTTGTCATGTAGTTTCTAATATGGGCAACTTGTCATATATTTGTCATAGTAGTTTCTAATATGGACAACTTGTCATATATTTGTCATGTAGTTTCTAATATGGGCAACTTGTCATATATTTATCATAGTAGTTTCTAATATAGGCAACTTGTCATATCTTTATCATAGTAGTTTCTAATATGGGCAACTTGTTATATATTTATCATAGTAGTTTCTAATATGGACAACTTGTCATATATTTATCATAGTAGTTTCTAATATGGACAACTTGTCATATATTTATCATAGTAGTTTCTAATATGGACAACTTGTCATATATTTATCATAGTAGTTTCTAATATGGGCAACTTGTCATATATTTATTATAGTAGTTTCTAATATGGGCAACTTGTCATATATTTATCATAGTAGTTTCTAATATGGGCAACTTGTCATATATTTATCAAAGTAGTTTCTAATATGGGCAAGTTGTCATATATTTATCATAGTAGTTTCTAATATGGGCAAGTTGTCATATATTTATCATAGTAGTTTCTAATATGGGCAACTTTTCATATATTTATCATAGAAGTTTCTAATATGGGCAATTTGTCATATATTTATCATAGTAGTTTCTAATATGGGCAACTTGTTATATATTTGTCATAGTAGTTTCTAATATGGACAACTTGTCATATATTTATCATAGTAGTTTCTAATATGGACAACTTGTCATATATTTGTCATAGTAGTTTCTAATATGGACAACTTGTCATATATTTATCATAGTAGTTTCTAATATGGGCAACTTGTCATATATTTATCATAGTAGTTTCTAATATGGGCAACTTGTCATATATTTGTCATGTAGTTTCTAATATGGGCAACTTGTCATATATTTGTCATGTAGTTTCTAATATGGGCAACTTGTCATATATTTATCATAGTAGTTTCTAATATGGGCAACTTGTCATATATTTGTCATGTAGTTTCTAATATGGGCAACTTGTCATATATTTGTCATGTAGTTTCTAATATGGGCAACTTGTCATATATTTATCATAGTAGTTTCTAATATGGGCAACTTGTCATATATTTGTCATAGTAGTTTCTAATATGGGCAACTTGTCATATATTTGTCATGTAGTTTCTAATATGGGCAACTTGTCATATATTTATCATAGTAGTTTCTAATATGGGCAACTTGTCATATATTTATCATAGTAGTTTCTAATATGGGCAACTTGTCATATATTTATCATAGTAGTTTCTAATATGGGCAACTTGTCATATATTTATCATAGTAGTTTCTAATATGGGCAACTTATCATATATTTATCATAGTAGTTTCTAATATGGGCAACTTGTCATATATTTATCATAGTAGTTTCTAATATGGGCAACTTGTCATATATTTATCATAGTAGTTTCTAATATGGGCAACTTTTCATATTTTTATCATAGAAGTTTCTAATATGGGCAATTTGTCATATATTTATCATAGTAGTTTCTAATATGGGCAACTTGTTATATATTTGTCATAGTAGTTTCTAATATGGGCAACTTGTAATATATTTATCATGTAAATACATATTTGTTGGCAACTTCTCTTTAGGGATTTCAACCAAAAATTCTTAGAACAATAAGTGTTCTGGAGCACATGGATGGTGACCTAGTATTATGACAGCAAATGTTCGGTCACATGCTAATCAACGTTTTTCCGACGTTGTATAACCATGAAGAATTCAATAGGTAATAAAATTTCTTCAGTTTGTCTGTGTCTATTAGCAAATCAATAGTTACTTACAAAACTGATATACTGTCAAAATAGTCATGACTGTTGATGTGTGTATGGCTTGCTAATGGACAACGCACACACACACGCGCATGCATGCACGCACACACGCACCCAAATTGTACAGCAACGAAAAGGAAACTTACATAATTTTATTTTTGTAAATATTTTTCTTCCATTTATAATAAAGTTATTTCTTTTCAAGTGGCTTAATTTAGTAATTGTTACAAATACAGTTCAATCATGTGATGTTCATATACATGTAATATCTTGAGTGATAAAACTGTTATCGAACATGTTTACGGTTAATTTATATCATTTCTGTAAACATTGAATTTTGAAATGTTTTTATACAAGAAATAATTGTATACAAAATATTTGGCAAAAGCAGCACGCCTCCAGATTCATGCTAATTTTCATGAAAATTTTGAAAATCTATTAAAATATAAACTATTATCAAGTGAGCTAAGAAAGTAGTTATTACAAACAGCATGTTTAATTCTAGTAAATTACCAAATAAATGTTAAAATATTCAAATATAGCAGTTACTGTGTTAGTCATGCAGTAGAAAATATGGTAATAAATACTTCAAAATCGTTCATTCATAGCATATAACATGTAAATCATTACTTGATTTGTGAATATTTTTACTTTTCTTAACATCTTGGACCATTTTTCTCAAAGTTGTTTTTCTTGAATTTTTTTGCCTCAGCTTTAGAATAGATTTTTTACACTTTTGCGGTTATCATTGACCAATGTCTTTCATATTTCACATAGGTAAAGACCTTCAGTAGTTAGCTGATTTGGGTCAAGTTTAATAGGGGTCACTTAAGGTTCAAGCTCAGTGTTTTGCATTTATGTGCATTTATTTTTGATTATCCTTTAACTAGCAAGTTGAATATTTTTCAACTTCATTCAAATAGCAACGAAATGCCAGTTTACTTTATTCTGACAAGTTACATAACTGTATTAAATAGTTTTCTTCAGGAATCTTCTCTTCTATAACTGAGTATATATTGAGTGTGTAAAGTAAAGGAAGCTGGCTTAATAAGACACAATGTCATGTGTTTCAGTTTCAATATTGTCTTGTTTTGAAAAACACAAAATATATTTTTCAGATGGAGCAGATGCTATCTGACAAAGCCAGTGATTTAGAATCAAGTACATCTGGTTCCCTTTCTGACATGTCAAGCCTGGATTCGGCCATCTCTTGTAAGCTGGACTGTGATAGGTCAAACTGTTGCTGTCAAGTGAACAAGGACCAATCAGAAGGCTCGGAACTTCCCAATAACGATTCCAGTGGTTGCTGCAAGAAAACGGCTAGCCAATCAGGATGTAATGAAGATGTTGACAAGAGCTGTGATACCAACAGTGCAGGAAACGCTGTAGCTCTAGAAAAGTTGTCAGTGTTTAACAGAAAGATAGATAAAGCTGTTATAGATTTTTAGCAGAACATTGTTATTTACCTCATAAGTCTATTTATAGAATAACCTTTGCGAGGCCTGCTTTGCATTGGGCTCAACATGATTCTTTTATTATCAGCTTGTTAACGTGTATATAAGTCAACCTTTAGATTTCTCAATTCCTTTGTTTTAAAATACTTTAAATTTAGAATGTTAAAAGTACATGTTCTATTGTCCAAGAAATTTCCATTTTTTAGTAGAAAATGGGTATACTGTTTCAATAAGTTAAAAAAAAATAATACATAATTGAATTTTTAAAAAAAGTTAGGAAAAGTATTTGTTTATATTGAACATATTATATATTAATGGATATTTAAAAAGAAATTAAATGCAATTTTGATTTGTTAAATGATATTTTGTTGTTCTGCTTTATATAATAAACTGTTGTATGATATTTTAAACCCACCGAATGCTTGCAGTTCATACTGATAAGCCTACAATGCTTGTATAGAGTAAAGAGCCAACCTAGATTTTCTTACTTATTTCTGTGGCCTGTTCAGATTTGTCCTTTGGTACTAAAGTATGTAAAATTATAAATGGGCTGGACAAATTAATTATATAAATTCAAAATATTTAAAATTCGTTGGGTAACATTTAGAGCACAAATATTTTTTTTTTAGGATTGCCCTTTGTCTGATACTTGTTGTTTTTGTTTTTTTTTCAAGAAGTAATGTATACCTTAAATGGACTTGTCCATCTTTTAATATGGACAAACCCATTGTTCATTTTTAGGGAAAATTTCAAAACAAGGACTGGCAAATATAGCAAACATTGCAGACCATGGTCAAATGGCACATATATACCAGCTGATTTTGGTCTTCATTAGTTGCATAGGTAGAATCTGTTAGTTTATACAAATTTATTTTAGTTTGATTGTGCTGGAAGCTATAAGCTTATTAAAACACTCTCAAATCTGTCCCTGGAACCAACCTGTACTAAGCAATGAATGTAAAGTTTCTTGCTCAAGGAAACAACAGCTGGCCCCAACGTGTCAACCACTTGACCACGCCACCACCAGAATCTGTCGCCTCTTAAAGGCTAATAAAATGTAGTAAAATTGCAAATTTATTTGCAAAGTAAATTTCCAAGAATCACAGCAACAAACTTTTAATGCAACAGTTGGATCCTAATTTTTTGCTCAACTATTTGAAGAATAGGAAGAGCTAAAATTAGTTCTCATCCTGGCATTGGCGTCACACTTAGTTAAGTTTTTGCTTGCAAGTTTGTATCTCCATAACTACTGAAGGGAATGGGTTGAAACTTCAAACACTTATTTGAGAACATAATAGGAGGTCACTGTTAAAAAGCCCATGACTCTTAACGCGAATTTTGACATGATTGGGACCTTTTTTGAACATAAATCGTTTCACATTATCCAGACTCTTGTTATCAATTATTGACACTAGTTGAGCAGCCTGTCCTACTGATGGCTCTTGTTAACTTCATATTCCAATAATGGGTGAACCCTTTTTTGTTGTATTGTTACTGTTATACCCATCTTGTAGGTAGTGTCTGGGCTAAGTGGTTCCCAGTGATGCATTACAGAGTTGCGTGTAGCCTGTTCTTAAATTTTCTAGCCAGAATCTTACATAAATCAATTAAAAGAAATAAAAAAGATTTTTTTTTGGAACAACTTAAATAACAATGTCTTTAAAAAAATTAGAAAATGTTATTTATGAGCAAAACAATCATGTTTGTGTATTCTGTTGTAAACATTATGAAAAATGTTGTTTTTTTCACAAGTTACATGTACATAATACATAATATACGTGATTATATTTGAATCAATAACCTTTACGTGCATAGTATCATGTTTTCACAGTTTTCTATTTTGAACTTATCGGTAGTGACGCAATATTTGATAAAAGCTCTGTCCGGTATCTTACTCTTTGAACAATGAGTAATCATAATCAATCCTCTTTTTTCCTGATGGAAATCAGCAATTCCGTTTGATCAGAAGTGGATTGTACCCATGCAAAAAATGTTTGTCCAATGTTGTTTTTGTTTTGACATGATCAAGTCGGCATGCCGCAGCCGGGACTCGAACCCTTTTTTTGTGAGATATTTCTATGTATTATTTTCTGCTCATGATTTTTGTCATTCATATATATATATCAATAACCATTTAGCAATTAGAATTAATGGACACCTCCAAGTGGTGTTATCTTAGACATTGCCCTTGAACACTGAGGTTCCATAACCTATAGAACCGAAGCTTTTATTTCTAAATAACCTTTCAAATAATCTTGAAAAAATACAATTATTGAAATAATTAAAAGGTTATTGTAAGATAATTGCAATTCAAATTCTCGCTTCCTACATAGTAGGTATGTGGGGAAAAAAAGTTTATTTCATTTTCGAGGTCAAAAAGGACCCAAGGATTGCTGACAGCATGGGTTCAAACTCTGTTATGGGCAAGCCGTTGGTTCCGTATGCAATGAATTTTACATTCATTGCTTAGTACTGTTTGATTCCAGGATTGGATTCGAGAGTGTTTCAATAAGCTTATAGCTTCCAACACAAACTAAAATAAATTTGTATAAACTAAGATTCAATTAGAAAATCAAGAAAATTGTTGTAATTATCATATAAACAGTCTTAGTGACCATTAATATGAGGTTATTATACATTATTAAGTACAATACTTTTATTACATTGAACAGGTACACAGCTGTCAAACCTACCGGGTATATTGGATGAGGTGCAAGCCGAGTCCGATAAAGGTTTTGCTTCTGTGTATGAGTCCAATAGAATCAGTATTATTCTCAACCATATATAATGACCACTTTATTTCACACCATCGTTTTTTATATTCGGGCATATTATGTTATACCCCCTGGCGTCTGTGCATCCGTCCGTTAGCAATTTGGTTTCCAGAGCATAACTTAAGTTCCATTTGGCCCACAGTGTTCAAACTTCATAGGATGATTGTCCATATTGGGTAGAAGACCCCTATTGATTTTGGGGTCAAAGGTCAAGGTCATTATTACTTTAAAACTGAAAACAGTTTCCATACCCTAACTTAAGTTCCATTTGGCCCACAGTGTTCAAACTTCATAGGATGATTGTCTACATTAGATAGAATACCCCTATTGATTTTGGGGTCACAAGGTCAAAGTTCAAGGTCACTATTACCTTAAAACTGAAAACATTTTCCGGAGCATAACTTAAGTTCCATTTGGCCCAGAATATTCAAACTTCAATAGGAGGATTGCTATTTGAAGGAGGTAATACTTTATTTGATTCCCATGTCTTACAAATGCTCCATCCTTACTAAAAAACAAAACACTTTCGGGCATATAATACTCCACTTAGCGGTGCTCTTGTTGACATTTTGACAGAACTTTGTCATTTCATTAACAATTATAATTAGATATGGACTTTGGACTCTCAAAAAAAAGAAAATAGATGGGGTGCAATTGGATTTGATATGAAACTTTTGCACTCTGGAAATGAAAACAAGGCTAAATTGATAAGATTGGATCCAATAATGATTTCTATTGGAACATTGCATGGTGCAAATCCTAAAAAGTAAAATGGTCATAACAGGGACATCTCCCTTACATCACATTGACCTACCATCCAGCATAAGCAGAGTCCAGTGAAGACTGCCTGGAAAACTGAGCCTATCCCTACATTAGCACGGTCTAAAATATCCTATGCATTCACTATAATTATGTTCATGTTCCCCTGAAAAGTGAAATTATGTTGGTAGATTAAAGTACATTACTTCACAAAGATTTCTTTGCGGAGTGAAAACAAAGTTGTTTTTCTTTCTAAAATTTTAGTTCTATAAAAGGTCAATTTTTAAATTATTTTCGTTTACAAAGTACTTTTGTTTACATAATTGGAAACCATCTTACTAGTCGTGTAGGCCTACTGTAAAAGCTTGTGCATTATCATTCTGCAGTTTTATTGGCAACAGAAATTTGCTACTTATTTAGAATATCTAGAAAAAGGCACATTATCTACTTTTATACACTTTGTAAATGAGTCTTTTTGTACCCATGTTTTTACATACAAATTTCTAGTATGGTAATTATGGATCTTTCTACACGGATGATGATCACAACAAGAGATATGCAAAAAGATAATGTATATATATACAAATGCAACAATGCAAAACTAACACATGGTGTTGGAGGAGACTTGAGAAAATATGTTTGCGTTCTGATTATCATTTTATTTTTTTTTGACAAACTATGTCTTTCTGTTTGCCAAATAGCTAGGGACATTTGCCTCATTGGTTGTCAGTCTTTCTGTTTGCCAAATAGCTAGGGACATTTGCCTCATTGGTTGTCAGGTTTAATCAGTGAAATGATGTAAAAATCTTTGAGGCCATCTGCTTACCATAGCGAGACAATCTTTGTGAACTTCTGCCGCCTTAAACTTGTTATTTTGCGAGAACCATCTTAAATGAAATTTTGCAGACTCGAGAAAATTTGCTTAAAACTCTGCATAAATAGGATTGATTTTAGATGGTTTATTTCAAACGAAAAGATATTTGTCAGCCGGAAACAAAACAAATGCCTTCATATCTAGTAAATATGGTTACGGCATGGCAAAATTGGAAATTTATTCCGTTCATAATCAATCTTGATATAATTCTATTCGTCCTAGAACATTGTTTATCGAGTCATTTCTTAAGACGTTTTTTTTTAATAGAATTGTTTTCAAAGAATAGCTGAAATGTTAAATATGCGAGGGTAATGGCATTTAAACATGCAAAATAGCAAGTATATTGATGAATATCTCGAGAAAATTAGTTTAAAATTATCGCTAATTTTTTTTTATCAAATGTCTGCTTTTTTTAACTATTGAATAATCTTCTTAGAGAATTTTGTAATGGAAATTACTAAGTCATTAATCACTGGAAAGATAAATGACAAAAAACCATTTGTAAGGATTCTTTTATTTGGGAATTAGAACATAAAATAATAGTAAATTGTTGGTGGAAATTTTCAACTTTCTGCCCTAATCTTTATGAATGTTTCTAGAATTTTTCATTTTATTGCTTTAAGTAAACCAATGAAGAGTATTGGGCGAAACTGTAATTATGATATAGTGTTAAGTTTTTTTTCGAAGAACAGATATCCAATGATCAAAAAGCAATGTATATGTAGTTAATGAATGCCTGTCTGCCTTAAACCTTAATACAAGTAGGTCACAAATAATACCCTAGGCAAAGGGCAGTGTATTAGAACTACCAA